GTGTGTTTGTACCTCCGATCTGTTTGTAACAACTGATCTGCAGTCTTTAGAGTGATGCAGGATTGTGGTAAATCGTCTCAAATTGCGGATCTTGAAAGGCACAAGTTGTTGACCTGATTGTTGGGCATGGTGCCGCTAAAGAGAACTGTGTGGATAGTATATTTGCATGTTATACAGACTAGACGCGTTACCTGCGAACGTTGAATCGTCCCCGCCCCAGTGTTTGACCCGCAACGCAAATAACAGTGCTGCCTTGCTCGCTGAAATAAATACCATATCTGAGTGACAGCGGTTTCGATTGAGCTGTCAAGCTCGTGTCAGAAGCACTTCCCAGAATGAAGATATCAGTACTTGACGATTGGTGTGACTTAATTAAATGTGACGTATTTGACAAGCTACATACATGATGCAAGTGCTCTACTCTTCTGTTGGAGCTCGTGTCCAAAGTGTTACACATGTCCCGATGTTAGCCTATGTAAATCAGACCACACCGGCAGGCGCGTAACCACGAGTCTGAAGTTACTGGGGACCACATGGAAGGCCACGAATATTTTTTCCGGATCAGCCTTCGCCCGAGTGTGTGTGTGTGTGGGGGGGGAGGGGGAGGCGTTTTTGGCCACACCTGCCAGTTATTTGTTACGCGTGTAAAGAAAACCGCGGCGCATACCGCTGCGAAACTTGGTATGGCTTATGATACCTCAATTTCGCATCGTGTTTGAAAATTTTGACCCCAAGTCACCTAAGGTCATGTCACCAGGTCAGTAAAGTAACTATGCCTCTCAAAAACTTTGTGACTCTGTCATTCCTACAGTTTAAATCCCAGAAGTTTGAAACTCGAGCTTTTGCATGAAGATATCAGTATGAACAATTCGTATATCTCAAAGTTTTCACATCGGTGACCTAATGTCAGGTCAATTTTACGACCTCTCCATTATAATTCATTGGGAGAAAATTGTACTGCTCTTCTTTTGGCCGAAAACACATTCAAACACCGTGACACAGGTAAACATGACACACTGAACTGGAAAATTGCACCTGTGACCCCTCTATGCCCCTCAGCTCATCTCAGGTCATGAAACATCTCCAACAGTTTTTTTTTTGCCACAACTTTAGATAGAAACATGCTAGAGCGCTGCAAACGCCATGAACGTGTTCAGCTCAACATATACCAATCAAATGACTTGCAACATGACCTTTTCCGTGACCTGGACCAGGGCACCGTGGGGACTTATGCCATCCTAGCACGCATTAAGTGGCAAGTTAAAGTATTTCGATTTCCACTTTTTTGTTATTCATTCCACGTAGAATTGTCCAGCGCATCTGAATCACACCTTAAATCGTCTGTAAAATGATTGTTTATGCCTCAAAAAACCTCTCAAAGTGTAGCTTCGTCCTGACCAGCGTCGTGCTACCTGCATACAGCGAAAAAGCACACTACAATAAAACGCCCTCTCACTCGTTTCCCTGAACAGCAGGTTATAGTTGCGACATGTTTTCATTATCTTTGACTTATGAGGAAGATGATGGTATGCACGAAAATTTCCAAAATTCATCCAAATGTATAATTTTTGACCGAAATGCTAAAAATGTTAAAATGCTTCTTGATTCAGAGAGTTGACAAGCAAACTATAGCCTTACAAAGTTTGATACGCGGTGTTACGCGTGGAAATGCATATCAAAATGTTCTCCAATAATTTTTGCATCGGGGGCAGCTCTCATTTTTTGCCGAAATTTGCCTAAACCAGTCACTATGAGACGTCAAAGCAGACGGTGCCGCGTGGTTTCTTACGCCCCGCCGGGCCGCGCCGCGGCGGGTTACCCGACCGTAGCACACCGCCTGGGGGTTTCCGGTCAGTATAGGAGTTGGGAGGAGGGAGGAAGGGGGTGATACCATGTTGACATTATTTTTCTATCGCCAAATGTTCTTTTTGAACAAAACAACAACACCCTTGCAACGCTGCGTCCATTTTATTGGCTATCGCCGCCAATGTTCACCTTATTGAACTTCAGTACAGAGCTTTGATATAGGTAAATCGAAAAATGCTGTAACTTTGTAAAGTGAGGTTGGAGGTTTTTGGGGTGCTAATCACGAATTTCAAGCTAGTTTTGATCAGGGATGATGTTTTCATGCTAGGCCGGGTCAGGTCAGGCCCGACCAGTAGGTGTCTTGCCGGCTATCCATAGAAGGTAGGCGTCGATTACCTTTGACGGCTTCGTAGCATGTTCCGTTAGGCACCAAAACTACTTAAATCTTCAAATGGGTGTTAAGTTCGAAATAAGCTCCAAGCACTTATCTAGAAAAATCGTATAACTTGAAAAAGTCAACTAAGGTCATCTAAGGTAAATGACCTTGATTTGACCTTAACTTGACCTTAAAATGCAAAGAACAAACAGCATTTCATACCTTGGAGAGTTAACAACCACAACAAGACTGAAAACGCGCCGATAATGTGCGCTGATAAGCGCCAAATCGATACCAGCCTGACATGGTCTGGCGAAACAGGTCACAGGTCAATTTTTTATTAAGGTCAAGGTCATGAAATTTTAAGTGTGTGAGTGGCTTTGATCGAATCGAAGGTATAGAATGTTTCGTCGTGATCCGCCACGTTTTGCTTGAGTAAGTATGCGAAAAGTCGAGGACAGAAGTCTGTGCGACCCCCTCCCCCTCCCCCTCTAAGTACAAGGACTAACAAAGTGCAAAGGTTAAGCCCGAAATGCCTTTTGGTGATTGGGCTAGACATGAAGAAATATCTACTTCTAAAACGATTGTAGTTTCGTTCTACTTTTTTAATGCTTCCACGCCCACGATGCATTGCTAGCCGAAAACGCTTCAGTGCTAAGTCCGTGGGGACGGGGCGGGGGAGGGATGGGGTCAAGCAGGAGAGCCAACCATGTTGTCAGGGATCATACACCCTAAGCCTAACCATTTGAAGGTGAAATAAAATTAGTTAAGGTAGCGGAGGATGCGATATAAATAAATTCGTGCTAGGATCGATAAAAACCCCACAGTGGGGGTCAAATTTTCAAGTTGACTTTTTCAGGTCAACTTATAGTTCATTCGATGCGTCTCGACGAGACAAACGCGATGCCGGTAAAATCAGCGTCATACAAGTTTGGGTTCCCAAAGTTATGATACAAAAACCTTTTCCGCAAAAACGCCAGCCTGGAAGCTAAACCGTTGACCTTAGGTCATATCTGAGAACATTACTCAGAAAGGCCTTTGAAAAAGCTATCGAATGCGCTTTCCCGCAGCACTGCAGCTCTATTGGTTTCTGACTTATGAGCCGATTTGTGAAAAGTTGTCAAAATTGGGAACAAAAGTTCGTGAAAATTTTTACATTTGGTGACCTCCAGTGACCTTAGCGATGACCTGATCAAAAATGGCATAGGTAATTCTGAAAGACACTGTAGCGAGCTATCTGTTGCATTTTACCGCGTCTTTCTAGCTTGCTTACTTTCCGAGATAATATCATAGGCGGCGGAACGGGGAGGGCACCGGGGCACCGTGCCCCCCTTTGATGTTGGCATTTTAACATTAGCCCTAAGGGCGTTGCATGGAAAGAGTGGGACCAAAAGTCGGCAGTGCCCCTCTTTAATTGAAGGTGTTCCGCCGCTACTGGATAATATGGTGTGGCAAAAAGGCCCCCCCCCCCCCACCACCACCACCACCACCCAAGGCTATATAAACCAGGTAGAACGCTCCGGGAAAAAAGTTGGAAACAATAAATTAGTTGCGGCATTCCCTGATGACGCGAATGTGGGTCAGCGGCCGGCGGCCGGCCGCCGCTAACACTGTATGAGGAGGGATGCGCGGAACTTTTGCTTGTTGGTGATTGCGCTAGGCATTTAAATGGTAATGTTAGGATATGTTTCGAAAGTAAATTGAACGATGCTTCGAACGCCGTCAATGAATTTGCGATACGACGACTATTTGTTTAGTTAGAGCCGGCGAACTTTTACCTTCCGACCGCGCGCGGAGGCGGTATGGTGCCACACTGGCGGTTTTTACGATAGCTCAGAATTCTTTTGAGATAAAGAGATGAAATTTGACATGTTCTATCTTTTGATCAAGCCGGGTCTTATCGTACAAGTCGCATATTTAAGGTAGGTCAGGTTGTTGACCTATGTTGTCGCTCGTGAGCCTCTGCACAGTCCAAAAACAACGCAATTTCTGAACACTCAGTGCCAAGAAATCCTTCACAGAAAGATGACACTTGGCAGAAAGAAGAGTTGTCGGTTTCTTACCGTTCGTATGTGTCGTGCTTTCACAAGAGTTTAGTAAGGTCAGGTCCGTCACGTGACCTTCCCTCATAACTCAATAGGTTTACTATCATAGAGGCGTTTATCAATCGCCGGAAATCTTAGCCAATCCCACTGGACACTGGATCCATACCCACATGGGGCCCTCCTGACTGGCCACTCCCTCTGAAATCCACAATAACATTGGGCTGCGGCCACGGTTATGTATTAATGCTTTTCACTAACAGAAATACAACTTCAACCAGCACAGTGCACGCCGCCACAACAGTCCGACCCACGTCCCTGATATCGACTAGCTCCCGGCCGGATGCACATACGCGGAGCCAATCAGTCCGAATGTGACCTGCAGCTTACAATTGCTGTGTCGCATGGCGCATGGCACAGGACGATTCCTAGCAGCTGTCGGCTGGAGTGGAGAAACAGCACGTTGCGACACACCGCGCCGGCGACAGAGCTCAGCAGGGCTGGTTGGAGGCTGGAGCCGGAGGTAAGGGCGGACACAGGCACAGACATTGCAGGACAAATAACAGGATGTCAGTTAGGGATATAATTCAAGACGAATGATTCAAGACGGACTGAAATAATACACATTTTGCTCACTTGGATACCAACTTCAAACTTGACGTTTATGTATAGCACCATGGAAACAATTGTGAAACTATTTTTCTCTCTATAAGTTTGTTACGTTCCTTATTTCTATCATTGCTACGGTTGGGATTACTGTTGGTAGCGTGGCGTGCCGAAGTTAACCGTGACGTTTAAAAGGTAGCGTTTGTTTGAGCTTCCGAGCCGTTCTATGTTACGTTTGCCGAATTCGGTGCCGTTCAGTTCAGTTCGCCGTTCATTCTCTCCCCCACCATTTGTCCCACAACAGACTGTGTAAATTTTCAAGGTAATTATTTACATGCGCACACATTATTACACTGGTCACGGCTATATACAAGGCCCCAATAAGGGCCGCGCCCTTTTACTTACATGATATTGGGTAGGAGGTATGGACGCACACGTCGCGCACTGGGCAGTCCAACGTAGCTCCCGAGTGGAGAGCGAAGAGAGAGAGATCACTGCGGGACTCAGCTTATATACCGCGCCTCCGGCGGTTGGCATTTGCCTCGGGCGCGGCACGCAAGGCTAGTCCCGCAGGACAGAGCGCACAGAACATGGCAGGGCAGAACAGGACAGAGCAGAACAGTGCAGAGCAGAACAGTGCAGAGCAGAACGAGGAAGTAGATGGTGCCGCCGACTCGACCTAGTAACGGTCCGTCCGGCCGCCGGCCTGCCCTGATTGCTGCCCAGAGGGGTTGTTGTTGTTCCCCTCCAAGTGACAGGCGGCGCCGAACGGTGGGAGTCGGCCGGCCAGGTGATCGTAACAGGTAATGAAGAAGATGAGCTCGCAGGGGCGGTGCCAGGTGGCCCGGCTGGGTCCACCCGCGCCGGCGGAGGCACCTGGGTCTCATGGACTCTCCGCTGGTCGCGCTGCTGCGCCGCTCCGTGGTTTCGCCGCGCCGCGTCCTCCCCTGCGGATGTTTGCGCGGCCCAGCGCGGCCGCTGCCGCATTCCGCCCCCGGCCTCCGGCAATGCGGGGCGGAAGGGATGGTTCTACGCCCATCATCTGGTGGGGTGACGATGCGGTCGCGTAGCGGTTCGCCGGGTCCGGCGGCAGCCACGGCCTGGCCGCGTTGGAGGGGAAAAGTTTCCCACATCCCTCCGATGAATATAGATGACAGAGCGATTCCGAACTCCGGGTAGATCTGTGGGTCATAGAGCACCTGTCAAATCCTGGACATGTTGATATTTCAACTGAATTGGGAGATCCAAAAGCTCAGTATAGCTCTGCCCCGGTACTGCTTCCGCTAGATCCTCAACTATGGTTTAATATTTCTTACTGCGTTACTGCGTTGCTGTCGCCTTGGTACTGCATGACATGCGGTACGTCCTCGTCATTTACAGAATAAATGGCCATTTGGAACCAATGTGGACTAGGATTTAAACTTGGTCGTGAGAGGAGCGGAATGGCGTCAAAGAGTCGTGCCTCAGTAATAACTGGTTATGACTTTGCTTAAATTTATTCTTTTCTTGTGCCTTTGAATGTGAGAGTAGCGCTCTCAGCTCTGTCGTATATTCGCATCCTTATCCCAAACTCGGACAACTGAACACAAAGTATCGGATTCTTGCCTTGTCACGTTAACAACGTTTCACTGGATTCTAGTCCTTAAGCATTGTACAAACTTATATGTATATTAATGTAATTTTTTGGGCGACTCCGTGACGTCCCATCACTGATGCCCTTTTTAGTGACAGCCGAGCATCTCTGTCCCGAGCGTAATTGACCGTCCCATTTGTTGGACTACACAAGACTGCCGGTGTGCAGGTGCCAGTACCATTGTGCTTGGACAGTTTGCCATGACTTTGTGACCCTTTTAGCCCGCTAATGGTGACCTTCCAGACAGTGATAGCTCACTCTGACGCGAACTCCTCCTATCTGCAATGGAGTCGACCCATGTTGAAGACGGAGACCACCGCTGTGGACGCCGATGGGTTTCACTGCTGTAGGGTCCCAAGAAGCGAGCAGCAGGTGTGCACTTTGTGCTGCCTGGGCTGTCTTTGCAACCGTTTGGCTCTTGGCTATCTGCCACTGCAAGTACTGCAACTAGAGCCGACGCTCCATACACCGGACAGGTGTGAGTCATGATATCGCGGGAGGCTGAGTTTGCTCAGAACATCGTTGCTCAAATCTCGTCATTTTTAACGGCCAGGGATGGACATTGCCGCAGAATTGGTCTAGTTGTTCAAATATGCTTTTTTTCGATAGAGCTGTACTTTTATGACCGTTACCTGGCGTTCTAGTTAGTCTCGGCAGTTCAGCGTTCGGATGCAATTATTAGCCTTCTGGCAGCGCTCACTCTTATTCATGGCACTCCATTTAGACTGACTGAAAAAGACATTGACTTCGCCGGAAGGCATAGGTATGCAGACGGTATTTGGTAAAATAAATGTGCTGTACCTTGGACAAGGTTAGGATCAAGTAGGCCACCACGTCCTTAACATTCATTAACAACATCATATTCCTCTAGGCAAAATGATTCAACACATTTAATCATATTTCTGTTACGGTAACTTTAGCAGCTAATGCACTATACCCTTGCATCTGACCACTTGATTGGCCGATGTTGCAACGCTTGCATGTTTGGCAGTAAGCAATATTAAACCATCAATAACGTTTTAGACACTTGCGACTTGCGAGCCCTACAGTCTGTTACCTACCTGCGTACTTGTTTCTCCGCTAACGATAGCCGTGCTAAAGGCACTGAAATCAATATCCACGGGAATGTTTGTTCGCCTTATAAACACATTTATACACTTGAAGCTATGTACCATCATACTGGGGCGTAAACTGATTGCTAAGCTATCCTTACTTTACTCCCAACTCAGTTTCCTCAGGGCAAGGCCATATAGGTCCTCAGGGACTATAACGGTCAGGGGTCTCCTATCCGTTGAGACCTCGTGGGCCCTGGGTCGGCCGTGCCGCCGCCTCCTCTCTTGGGGGACCTGTGGAGTCAGTTCGGTCACTACCACCTGTGACTCTGCGTCCGAGGAGGACGAATAGTCCTCCCGGAGCTGCGGCTCCTCCACCGCCTCCAGCCCGTTCTCATTCCGCTGCTGGCGTCTCCAGCAGTGGTCTCGCATCCTGACCAACGCGTGGTCCGGTAATGCTCTGGAAGAAACTGTCAATCTATGCTTTCCCATGGTCAGCGTTTCCCGTTCGCAGTTTCCGGGTTTCCGGTTCGGTCATTGTGCTGAAAGCCCTGAATAAGAAACGAGTAGCGTTATGGACACACGGCCTCTACCCCCGAACTAACCCATCTCTAGTCGGGTATTGACTCACACAAGACGATTGTTTATGCCCACTTCGCTCTGATGGGCTGCAGTCCCAATCAGGCGTGGAGCAGCGCTTCACCCCACACAACGTTTGGCCCGAAGCCGCGCTTGGCCTACCGCTCAGTTGATGGGCTTTTGGGTCGTGTACACTTTGCAATATGAGACGGCAGCCGGTCCCTCATAAACAATCGTCCCGGGTCACTGGTAGGGCAATCGCGACTTCGATAAGTGCGAATTCCATCGCTCACCTCAAAACTCGTTGCTTTCAGCACAAAGCACGAATGGACCCGAGAAACCTCAGTGATGACGCGGAAGAACACCTGGACATACACTGTCCTCAGAGGCACCCCTCAGCCCCACACTCAATTTGGCCACGCCCATCCTCCGTCCCTACACCAATCAGACAGAGCGGAGGGCAGGGCCTAATTGCCGCGGGACCGCCGCGAGCCGGCGCTGGCACCCCGCGGTGACTGACCGCGAGGGCCGAGCCGCCCGCCTGGCCCACTGGCCGGGACAGGTTGGGGGAGATGAACCACTGCGAACATGAACGGCCCGATACCTACATACATGACTTACATTTAATATTAAAGGCAAAACAAAATCCCAATATAAGAAATATTGCAATGTTCACAACGCATTGGGTTCGCCGTCCTGTTTGGAGCGGAACCGACAATAGATTAATTTGGCTCGCCTTAGGCGTCCTTAAAATAAAACAAGTCAGTTTTTAGCATCCCACCGCTGCCACCATTGTGAAACTATTTTTCTCTCTATAAGTTTGTTACGTTCCTTATTTCTATCATTGCTACGGTTGGGATTACTGTTGGTAGCGTGGCGTGCCGAAGTTAACCGTGACGTTTAAAAGGTAGCGTTTGTTTGAGCTTCCGAGCCGTTCTATGTTACGTTTGCCGAATTCGGTGCCGTTCAGTTCAGTTCGCCGTTCATTCTCTCCCCCACCATTTGTCCCACAACAGACTGTGTAAATTTTCAAGGTAATTATTTACATGCGCACACATTATTACACTGGTCACGGCTATATACAAGGCCCCAATAAGGGCCGCGCCCTTTTACTTACATGATATTGGGTAGGAGGTATGGACGCACACGTCGCGCACTGGGCAGTCCAACGTAGCTCCCGAGTGGAGAGCGAAGAGAGAGAGATCACTGCGGGACTCAGCTTATATACCGCGCCTCCGGCGGTTGGCATTTGCCTCGGGCGCGGCACGCAAGGCTAGTCCCGCAGGACAGAGCGCACAGAACATGGCAGGGCAGAACAGGACAGAGCAGAACAGTGCAGAGCAGAACAGTGCAGAGCAGAACGAGGAAGTAGATGGTGCCGCCGACTCGACCTAGTAACGGTCCGTCCGGCCGCCGGCCTGCCCTGATTGCTGCCCAGAGGGGTTGTTGTTGTTCCCCTCCAAGTGACAGGCGGCGCCGAACGGTGGGAGTCGGCCGGCCAGGTGATCGTAACAGGTAATGAAGAAGATGAGCTCGCAGGGGCGGTGCCAGGTGGCCCGGCTGGGTCCACCCGCGCCGGCGGAGGCACCTGGGTCTCATGGACTCTCCGCTGGTCGCGCTGCTGCGCCGCTCCGTGGTTTCGCCGCGCCGCGTCCTCCCCTGCGGATGTTTGCGCGGCCCAGCGCGGCCGCTGCCGCATTCCGCCCCCGGCCTCCGGCAATGCGGGGCGGAAGGGATGGTTCTACGCCCATCATCTGGTGGGGTGACGATGCGGTCGCGTAGCGGTTCGCCGGGTCCGGCGGCAGCCACGGCCTGGCCGCGTTGGAGGGGAAAAGTTTCCCACACAATGGGCACACAAGAAAGAAACAAAAGATGAGGGTTTTTTAACTCAAGGAAGTAAAACAGCCCGAAGTGCAGACAAGCACATACTTTTGGTAATAGCTATCAGCTGTCCTACTCCTCTTCTCCCTTAATCAACTACTGGACACATTTGAAGCATCATATATAGCACCAATGTCCATAACCAAAGCTTGCAAGTAGTTTTAACTTCTATGAAGCCAAGGGAAATGTGCCTACGTCATGCATGTAAACTCAAAATTACACATGCATGACAAAGGAAGCTTATGTAAAGAGAATAGTTGACAAAAGCATCTCATGGTTAAAATTATTCAAAACTGCACACAGGGCACACATAAAAAGCAGCAAGTGTACTGTTCTGTTATGCTAAGAAATAATCCAAAACAAAATACAATCTTTTCATGTTTGAACTGGTTGTTCTTCTATGCCCCTTCATCCATATCTTGATTACAGATGGGCTGTTACTGTAGGCTGATGAAGTGACACTTGATTGCCTTTGTGCGAGTTTCAGTTGCAGCCTCCTTGGTACTGCACTGGAAAGCAGATTGAATTGAATGCCTCTGAAAGATAGGAATACAGACAGGGTTAGCTGTTGTAGTGTCAATGATAATAGACATGACATTTTTGTCCTTTGACATACATTTGTTGAAGTACAAAAAGGTACAAAATAAATTGGTTTGTTTCAAGACACGCACACTGCACAAAGCCGCACAGACATAACACAGGCATATGAAATTGGTACACATAAAATTTGATGATTAAAAAGGTCAAAACTTGCAATAATAATTGAAGTAAAAGTTACAATCACAATCATTTGATTTAAAATGACTTGACATAAGTCACAAGACGCAACGCTCCTTTTCTTTTATGCTTTCATTATCCTCCACATATCAACCAGCTTGATACCAGGCTGTGCAATAGTGTGTACATAACCCCATGTTGCCATTTTATTAGAGCAAGTGGGGTTACAACAACAATGCTAATGTCGAACCCACATCTGCAACCCGTACTGCAGTTTCAATCACCTTACAAGCACACCTTCTGGCAGTTTGATAGGCAGAATGGTCATTACTACTTTCCCCTGATATTCAACACATAACCCTTTATACAGATACAGTTTAGACCTGGTTATGGCAAGCACTTTCGAGAAAAGATATGATTAAAGTCCAAGACAAAGGTCAAGAGAAACAACACCAACATAAAACACCGACTATGTAGCACTAATACCGTCAAATTCATAAAAATATATACATGAGTCGATCAGAAATTCACTGTAGATTTCGAAAATGGTGTCAAATGCCACTCAAATACCCCCATTCGCATGTACGAAGCAATAAAACACTGACCTTCAATTCCGCGTGCCATTCTCCATAGGCCACTGTGTATTAAATAACGCGTTCACTGCTAGCAAAAAATGAGACCCACATATGACGCGTTTGCTACCAACCAATCAGCGCTCGAGTTACCGAGCGCTGATTGGTGGAGAGGGCCGTCGTCAGCAGCTAATTACACGTTGTTTTCCTTGAACATGTGCGTGAGCGCTGATGCTGCTCACGGGCTGTTGCCATTTTTCGTAATGCTGAAGGCACGGGAGCGAACCCCCCTGCCACCACCACCACCACCACCACCACCATCATGAAGTTGGCTGAGAGGCCCACCCGGGCGCTGGCTAAACAAAACATCCATAGTTTTGTCCAAGGCCCTAAATACAAGGTTGCACGGACTAATTTCTACTAAATCTACCAGAATATAGTTTCACGGTTGAATATTTTAATAACTATTCAATCAAAACTTCTTTATTATTTTCTCGTTATCATTTATCAGCGATTTTATAAATTGACTTTCAATTTGCTTGCCTTTTACTGGCAAAATAACTTTCTAGTATTGGGTCAACATAGTTGTGTAGCAGTAGGAACCATATCTGGCAAAACCCCAATGCCTACATACAGCAGAAAAGCAGCCACCAGGTGTCGCCACAGTCGCCACTTTGTCGCCACACAGATGTCGCGCGCGTCGCCAATCGCCACACTACCGATTTCCATAAGGACGCATATGTACGGATATGTATTGGAAAGTCGCCCTTAAGGATTACGCTTACATCCTTTGCTTATGAGGTCGGTGGTTGGAAATTGGGAGGGGCTCAGCTATTTTCGACGACGGATATGGCTTTATCACATGATGAGGAACATGCTGATAAGCGTTTTATGTGTCATAACAGCACATAAGTATTTTTAATCATTTTTCAAAAATAGCCGTTCTGCCGTATCTTTCAGTGCAAGGTGCCGTCGGTCATCCCCGACGTTACGTCACGCCGGGGATTGCCAGATATTCCTACTAGACTTCGACGCCCCCTGGTTTTGTCTTCCGTTGAGTCGTTGACTACATATCACGTCGATTTAGAGACAATATTTCGCTATTTAAAGGTAGTGTGCCACCTTTGAAAGATTTCTCATTTTATTTTTCCTACGATAAGAAGCTTCTGTTTTTACCTAATATCGCAAAAAAATCAAAAATGGGCCTGGAATAGTGCCTTTTTCGCCTAAAAGTTTATCGGTTTTTTGATATGTATAACAATTGTAGTGGGCTGACCTGTAAACAGGCGTCGGCAACAATCGCGAATGCGGCGCACATGTGACAATAAGCAAAGGTCATTATAGAGTTACGACTACGACGTACGGGAATGAGTTATCAGCTGTCTAATCGTAGACAACACAATGTCGAGCCTTAAACTGTAAGCCTGTATGGGTATTGTTTCTTTTATTTGGCTGTCGAACATTATTTATGGTTTGAAATATGATTTTATGTAAAATAATTGATATGAAAAAGCCGTCTCTTAAGTTATGACCCCATTTCACCACACGCAAGTGGCAGGAATGACAATGATCAGCTGACGCATTTTTCTTGGCCGAAGTCAGAGCGCGCGGCCCGACGCACCACCACCGCACGACAAAGTATGAGCGAGCAGAAGCCGCGCCCAAAGCCAGGGCCCCGGTAACGTGAGGTAGCCGAGTCGGGGCAGCGTGCGCTGACCCAAGCCGGGGCCGCAGCTTTGGGCGCGGTCTACCGCATCCCCGCGGGCAGCCCCGGGCTATAACATGACACCGGGAGGACGCGCGGCCCCGGCTTGGGTCAGCGCACGCTGCCCCGACTCGGCTACCTCACGTTACCGGAGCCCTGGCTTTAGGCGCGGTCTACCGCACCACCTAACAGGCGTGTTCGAAACCGCAGGAGATGATGATGAACGGGTTTATCGAAACTTGATTGGATGAGCATATCGGTAATAGCGATTTCAGTGTGTGCATTTATTGTTCATAGTGGTGTGAAATGTGGTTGGGGTACGACCGACAACCCGTCGGGGCGAATTTCGCACTGGGGTACTCAAAATTTGAAGAATTTAAGACGTTTCCATGAGTTTTGAAGGTATGGATAAGTTCTAAAAATCCGGTTCTCCTTATCTGGGCCATTTACTCCATACGGTCCAGGAAAGCTGGCACACTACCTTTAAGCAAATTGAGGAAGTCCTAGGTTTTACTGGGGACGGTCCCCAGTAACCCAAAAGCTACTGGGGACCGGTCCCCAGTGTCCCCAGTGGTGGTTACGCGCCTGCACACCGGCCTAGTTTTACACGCACATTTGCATTATGCTCTCATTGTGGACGACCTCGACTGGGACATTGTCAGGGCACCGGACGTGCTTCTGAACACGCTCATTGATGATAATAGGGTGGCAGTTACGGTCCAAGGACGCAGAATACGACACCGAACAGCTGATGTGTTTGCGTCACTGGTCAGAGACGCTGGCTTCCTACCCGTTTGACGTTCCGTATCGATAGTACTCGATTTATCGATGATGTCAGACTCTGTAGAGACATACTATCGATAATACAGACAGGAGACGATGCGTGACCTGTGAAGTGCGCTCATCGCGCCGTGGCTTCCACGCCGTACCGCGCCGGACTTACCACGATTTTCCGCGTCCACGCAGCTTGGAAAGGGAGAGTGGGGCGTGTTATGAACGTCTATTTACACACGGAACATCAGTCTGCCCCGCCATGCTGCGAGGCTAAACTCGGCGACAGGCTGTGTAGGGACAACTTACATACAGCTCAACTTAGGACACGGTGAGAGCTGATTAGGTAAGCAGTAAGCCTCTCAGTTATTGGATATGCTACACACCAAGGCTACGACAGTGACATTGCACAGTGCACACGTCGGAGTGTCATCATATAACCAGCAAACAGCAACAACAAAAGGCGAAAGGAATGATGTTAGCATCTAGCCTCAAGATCTTATGATAGTGAGCGAAATGGTGAGCTGGTGCGAACTTACTAAATCACAGCGTGGATAGCAAGACATCAATACCTTTTATGTACAACATACACGACACAATATTCATACACTTCTTAAATTACGCGACCTTAAGGGTATAAGGAAAGTGACAAGATGAGTGACAACATTAATTACAGCACGCTCCGTTTATCTGGCCTAATGACCTTATTCACGCCAATATGCCCACACATTCCCTTACTGGCCGGTAGTATAAAATCGCTGGTCGGCCTCTCAATGGCTGAGGGCAGGCTGCCCGGCCGGCACACGCACCACTCAGATTAGCCTATCTGTTATATAGTGGGTGATGTAGTGACGAAACAAAATACTATATGACGAGCTACCAATGACTTGAGCGTGCATTTTTTACACAATGTTGACATTTCTGCTGTGTACAATTACATGCCTAAACTGTGTGGTGCTCGCTAAATTATCATTACAAACAACACTTCAAGACGAATGCAATAAAAGTAACATTAGCCCGTACTAGGACTATGACTTATCTAACTTAGCCTCAACATACAATAAATGTGGTGCTTGTTACACTGCTATGCTTTTAGGTCCATTTAAAGTGACTTCGAATGACACAATTTTGTGACTTTCGGAAGTTCGGATGGTCCAATGGCTCACTCAATAGACAGGAGCCAAAATAAGTGTTGGACCAGGAACAATTTTCAATAACAAACGATGAGTATATACTACATTGATATGTTGCCACAACGGCGCGCTCAGCGCGCGCTGGTGTCGCCTGTCTCGGCTGGTGTCAGGTGAGTCAGTGTCAGATATGGTCCCGGAATGTGACATTTCCCGACTGTCTCGAAACCGTGCGCCGTTTGGCTATTTGGGTGTCAATATTTTCTCAATTGCGGTGAGGCGTTGTGCTAGCTGCTCTGTGTGCCACTACCGGTCTTGTGGCCCCAGTTTGAGTTTCGGTGCCAGTATCAGTGTCACGTTCAGAGCTGTTCACTGGTCTTTGACTCGTTACCGGCGGGCGGCGGCGGCGGTGTATTAGTGTCGGTGTCAGTGTCAGTGTCCGGTGTGTCAGTTCGGTGTCAGTACGTTCAGAGCTGTTCACTCGTCTTTGACTCGTTACCGGCGGGCGGCGGCGGGGCGTCGCCCTCCTCCGGGTCGTGGACCACAAAGAAGCGGCGGTCACTGTACAGATCAGCTGTGTCCAGCTGCTCCCAGACGCGCAGACGTAGGATGGCACCTGTGGACAACGACTAACGTTAGCAAGCGCACACACAGATAGAACAGCCCTCGGTTCTGATGCTCTCCGGAGTGGGGCGGCGGCGGTACCGGATATCCGGAAAATCACGGTCGCACAGATCACGCGAGCCGCCAAAACACACTGACGAATTACCGCCTACCACAAACACAACACACGAACGCGAGTTTTATGGCATTGAATCAACAAAGAAGCACGCATATGCCTCGAGGTCCGATCTGTGCGTGGGCTTCCCAACATGTTCGGATTGCCAACAGGCTAAAAGTCGAAGCGCTTGCTACCGATCATTCTAGCGTTGCCGTATGACCAAAGGTTGACCGCTGATAGCCGAAACACTACTAGACTCGCCCCCTGTTTGGTATGTCATGCACTCTCACACCGTGCATTTATCGCCACATAGAGTTACCTACCCACACAATACACATCCTGTACTATACAGTTACTTATGCTCCATAGCCTTCCATGCCCAGACAGAGATCGACCGATGTCTCGCGTGTCTGACCGTCTACCAGTTTCTCCCGTCCCTCACCGGTGACGAGTCCGGTGATGATGGCGATGGCCAAGGTGATGAGCAGCGCCAGGATCTGCATGCCGCCCTGGTACCCGGCCGAGCGGCCCGCCTGGGTGCCGTGCTCCGGGCCGGCCAGCGCCTGGGCAGTGGCGTTCTCCATCGGCTCCATCGCCGGGAAAATCACGTACAGACTGGGGAAGAGAGAGGGAAATCACGTACAGACTGACGAGAAAACAGAGGGATAGTCACGTAGGTACTGACTGTCAAAGGGGACAATGCCAGCGAGAAAAATAACGTACTCCCTCGGCTTCATCATCGGCAAAATTGCATGCAGACTGACGGGGTATGAAAGTCACGTACGGGCCAGCTAGAAACCATGCGTCGTTGAAAGTTGACCCAGAGGAAGATTAACCCTCGCCGGACCTATTGGTTTTCTACATACGCGCCGGCCGAGGGGGGGGGGGGGGGCGGGTACGACCCCCCCTCGCCGTTTCGCCCCTGGTGGAGCTAGCGCGTCGCGGAAAAAACGAGCGTGTGCGCCGTTACGAGACGCAGAGATTGGTACCCGATTTTAAGGTCCTAGGTCAACCGGTGACCTCTGAGGTCAGGTCAAGTGCCCCAAGGTACGGTTCAGTTTTTGGTGAATAACTTCGCAAAAAACGGCCACAGAGCGCCGATTTTGGCAGCATCGTGTTTGTCTCGCTCAGGCGCGTCGAATGATATACTTTTTGTCCGGGTCAGGTCAACTTGGGGTGTTGACCTCAGGTCAAGGTCAGGTCAGCACCCCCAGGTCACGAAGTTGGTCGAAAGAGGTCATGTCGCATATCATTCGATTCGGCAGGTCTTCCTGAGTCCATTGGTGGCTTTCCCGACTCGCTAGCTCAATTTGATCAAGAGTTATTGACGAAAAACTAATATGACCTTGATGACGTCATAAATGACGTCACGCAAGGTCAGCATTGCAAAAGTGACGCATCTAACCTTGCAAGGAGTGCATAAAATCACGATTCTGTGTGCTTGAGATAGTTGGAGATCGTTCCCGGCGCCAGAATAGCAGTTTTCATTTTTCCCCATTGACTTATAATGGTGAGGTCACGAAAATGACCTGACCTCATATGACCTTTAGCAAAAATCCGAGATATACAAGTTGTGGGACTCATAATGGATACTAGATCCTGCAAGTTTCATTTCCCTGTGACATCTCCTCTGGCAGTGAGGGCGTTGCGAAGTTGCGACATCTGAAGACCGTGCAGAGGTTCACTTATGACGTCATAGGTCAGTGACCTGACCTGACTCAAAAATGCGGTTGGTGTCAAAAGATGGGGCTTGGATCAAAGGTCAGGTATGCCAAGTTTCAGCTCTCTATCGCCAGCGTGTTCGGAGCTATCGCGAAAAAACCCTATGGGGGGGGGCGGCACCCGCCCCCCCCCCCCTCGGCCGGCGAGGGTTAAACTTTGAATTCTCAATTCATTGAATAAAGATTGAAGCCTCGTCATGTTTTTTTCCGTTTCATGCCTATACCTACTCCTGAAGACGTTACTTCAGTCTGTTATGAGCGGCTTTACAACGTTTGACACGTTTGAAGAGTATCCGTCCCTGTAACCCACCTGTCGGCGTACTGCTCGTGCGTGGCCATGGCGGCCATGATGGCTCCCACGATGCCGGCCAGCACGCCCGGCATGCCGTGCAGGTTGTGCACGCCGCACGTGTCGTGCACGCGGCACCGCTCGTCCAGCGCCGGCTGGCGGCACAGAACGGGAGATAGGGTGATACAGTGAGACGGGGGAGTAGAGTCAGAGAGAAGTTCAACAGAACAACAAATATCGCTGGCCCGGCTAACCGCACAGAACGGAATAAGTAGATGCTGCACACAGTCCGTCACAGCGTCAGTTTTAACACCAACCGCGTAGGTATACCATTAGCGCTCTTTAAAATGGATCATCTTTGAAATTCACCTAAGTTCCCTACAAAAGTTCATATGGGCATTCAGAGAGAAAAAAAAAACTTCCGTCGATAATCCGTTTGATGCATGCAAGGGATACCTTGATAAATGGACTGTCGCCACCCCCAGTCTCAAAGCAGCGACACACTTTACACCGGCTCCGTCACAACGGTGTCCTTTTTACCGCCGCTCATCCGAAAAACAAACACGTCTCTCCCCCTTACACACAGGCCACAGCTGAGCCGTACTACGCGTCAGACCCGTACGACAGTGATGGACCGTCCTGCTGATCGTCCCTCAGCGCCAGTCATTGTACCCCACCGGCGGTGAGTCGTTAGTTTGCAGGCCGCGAGTCGTACGCAGCGCGCGCACCATCTGCCATGAATCAGACGCGATGTCCTCGGCGATAGGCAGAGCAGCGTCCGTCTCTCCTGGTCGCCGAGAGGACATCGCCTCTGGATCTGATACATGTCAACAGCGGCGGCCGGCCGGCGAGCTCTCGCCCCTCCCCTCCCCTTCCCCTCACGCCCCACTCGGCCCTCCGTCCTGATTGGTGGACGAGCTGGGCCGGCGGGGGCTCGGCCGTCCCGCCCCCAGCTCCCGCAGGGCGGTTGGTTGGGAGGTGAGCGGGCCTCCTCAGAATGTCTCCCCCCCCCCCCTCTCCACCGGCCGGCGAGGCGAGCAGGCACGTAAGCAAGTAACCAGTAATCCTTATTTATCAACACGCTATCCAAGGTGCTACTTAGATAATAATATGTTATGTAATATTCTATTTCGTATAAACCGTTCGATGCATTGCTTTACTCTTTTTACAGCGCTGATAATGGATAGTTATCTGAATCAGCACAAATGCGATGCGATCCATTTCACCGTTACTTGAAAGTTTTTACTAATGGTACAAGGTATCTGCATTAGACAACATTCCCTATATTTGTTGTTCACATGTTAAGTACCTTCAAACGACATCCAGGATTCCAGAACATTTAAAAGCACATGCCTACGCTGGTCTCATTAGCCAGATTGCCGGACTTTCTTGTATCTCTGTTCTCCATTTCACATACCTATCAGTCGGCCATCGGTCTACACCTCCCACACTACGCGCACGCGAGTGACCACATTACAGCCCTGACCTGGCACGTATCCGGCGTGCCCATCGCTTCTCTTCCTCTGTAGTTCCAGTAGACTATCCCGTGTCGCGGGAGCCGGGAGTGGCCGCACGGCTTTATTCTGACGGCTGTCCGTGTCCACTATCCCTGTATCTAACTATAATCTATAGCTTTCAATATTTTCGCATCTCTCTCCCTCTCTCTCACTCTCTCCCTCTGCCCTCTCTCTCTCCCACTCTCACCGTGATGATGCTGAAGCCGATGACGGAGAGGACGCCGGCCACCGAGCCGATGATGACGGCTCCGAACGGCTGTACCATCATGTCGGCAGCCGTGCCCACCGCCACGCCGCCGGCCAGCGTGGCGTTCTGGATGTGCTCCTGGGAACGGGGGAGGACGGGGAGGGTTAGCTGCGTGGTAGGCATTCATCATCTAAGACAGTGAAAGGCCGACTTAGATCTATTGTAATTGAAAATCCCAGCGTGTCGTCTCGTACGTGAAAATTGGTTTATGTGTGGCTGTACATAAGCTTAGACGTGCTTACCATGAACGTTTCTCACCATGCGCTTGTCTTCACGCATTTGTTGAGACATTCTATTTCTCCAAAAGGACTAGTCAAGCCACATATAACACACAACCTTCCAATATATCCCCACAGCGCACGTACGACGCAGGGTATACATATTGGTGCGACGTACTCCGGACTGGCCGGCCGTGAGATTCAAGGTATGTGACCCTCTAGAGGCCGGTGCCTTCTGAAGCCGCCGTCCCCGCCGCCGGCCGGACCAACTGCGTCTCACACGTCCGATGTATATCGTCCCACTAGTGTATGGCTGTCGAGCGGTCACCGCGCCGCGCCGGCGGGCCCACCGTGCGCCGCCCGCCGCGGCAGGACATTCGTTAGCCGACTCAGACCGCCTGGCAATCAGCGGCCGCGGGTGACAGGCGGAGCCGACCGAGCCGCGCGTGAGGCCGGGCCGCCGCGCCGCTCTACCGCGCTGTTGTGCCACTCTACCGACCTTCTGCGCGGGTTTACCGCGCTGGGATGCTCCACCGCACTGTTGGATGCTCCACCGCACAGGTATCGGTGACTGCCGAGCGGCAGGCACGGCAGTCGGTGCGGTTATAGCCTCCGGCGGATCGGGTGATCGTGGTTCACCGGTTCAGTCCGGACTGAACCGGTAAAAGGGGCGGACCTGACTGTGTACGGGTGTTGCTCACGTCGAATGGTAATAGCAGTGTTGGTTAGGGATGTAGCTCGCATTGCAATGTGTTTCACTCGAGTGAATTCACTTGGATTCAGTGTTTCATTTATGTATAATAGCGGTTTCTTGAATCACCAGTGCATACAGGAATGCTTTAGGCCGTAGGCAATAGGTATTTTGGCCTCCAAAAACAAACATTAAATCGCCAGCTTTTTCACTGACAGTTTTGTCCATAATTTACCACTAGAGGATGATGGGTTTACAATAGGGGTACCCATTTTTCCCGATTTTGGAACTTTGTGGGTGGGGGTGGTTTTTCCCATTATTTCGCGGCTCCTGATTCCAATGATGCCAAAAATATTGAAATCAAAGGTGGTTTAGGGGTCGCGAATTGAGATCGAAATTTGCGTATTTACCTAGAAATATGCCTATTTTACGCTGATAGTAAATCGCACCAAAGGCGAACTTTTTGTTTCGAAAGTCAGGTAGAGGGGTCATTGAGCGCTCCTTTTCCATCCAGATCGATGTGCTCCATCAGGTGGTTCCGGTTAAATGCTTTACTAGCGATCATTACGATGTCGATATTGTAACATTTGGTAAAAAGTGCCGGGATGTTTTGCTCCTGTTGCTGGTATTATGGTCAGCGTGTAATCATTTTTGATATTTTCGTCCTTTATGAGTTGCATTAGTGACCTTTGATGACCTGTGAGTTCAAATTAAAATGTGACGCTTCAGTTGCCATCTCAGTTCATGACAGGCTCTTTGTGTCCATACAATTAAAGTTTGTGCAAATTAGCTCAGAATACATCTCACAGATCATGGCTCCGAAGGTATTTCAAACCATGTAATTCAAAAACGATCAAACCATTTTGACCGTATACTTCCACAAGAAACGCCGTCCTGATCGCTCACGGCTACGATGTAATACACCTATGAGACAGGGTAGGATAAATCTTGGTGTTCCATGGTCCATGGTCCACCCACTGCGTCGGCCCCCAGGCAATGCCAGGAGTCAGTAAACGGTTCTGCCCCGGAGTTGGCTGAATCGTTTAGACTTTGGCACTTTCCTAATTTTCAGCTTTAGGCAATGCCAATCGATTTCAGTTCAGCACCAGCTGAGGCTTTGGACTGGGCCTGTCGAGTGCAGCGTAAGGTTTGTTACTTTATCTTGCAAGGATACTGCTGGCAGCGGCCATCACCAGGCACTAGTTCCATGACATGATATCTGCACCCGTCTCATGTCAACAGCTGCTTGTAGTGGCACATGCCCAGAACTGGAGCCACGAGCAGTCGTGCACGCGTTCGGCCAGGCCAGTGCTGTCCGTCATCAGCAAGATTGCAAACATATTGCTTTCATAATGGGGTGAGGATGAAGTTTCATTGTTCCTCTCCTGTGATGTTCTCGGCCAGCTATCTTTCCATATGCACAATCGCATTCTGTGTGCGGTTGTGGGTGTTTGTGGGAGAGACGCAAAGCTACACTCATACAGCAGTCACCCAACGGCGCGGTGGTGTAAAGCTTGCGCCCCTCCCTCAGCCGTGTCTGCAACTCCGGGACTATAGGGGAGGTCGGCTAGCGAATTGGCAAAGGTCATGCATACCGGCATAGCTTAGTGCTGTTTTTTTATCCCTTTGTAGATGTAAATAGGTCATTAGCAACTTCGTTATCTAATTCATGCCATATGTCCGTTAAAATACGGCATGCGAGTTATATCGTCACATTCGTAACGGCTTTTATTGCCCCTCCCACCCAGATTGTATCGATAAGTCAATGTTCATTGTCCATGTCCTGGGGATCAGTCATTTCTTTTGCTGAATAAGACGACTCATTGAAAACTAAATGGTCCTAATGAGGAAGCTTTGATCACTGATTTTAACCCTCTGACTACATTGGCAGTCGTTCTAAGAGTTACGGTCTTGCGTAGGTAGGCACTAATGACAGTCTAAGCCACAGTGAGTGCAAATGAGCATATGCTGTTCATTGACCAAAATGATATATTTGGTACTCTCTTTTACCGCTGCACGTCGAATATACAACCAAAGCAATGTTGCACGGTGTCAAACAGTCATCAATACCACTGCAACACATTGGCTTTGCATATTAATAGTCGTTGAAATGAACTAATTTTTCCAAGTAAACTTAAAACTTCCAATGCAGGCTCGCGACCCCTATTAATGGTCTGATATCGTTATTTCTATCACTGCTAGATCCAGAACGGAGCAAAAAAAAAAGATAAAATCGACCCCAAACTGTTGACATGGTAACCTTGTCCCAACATAAAATGATGTTAATTTGGTCGATTTTCCGCTAAAACTGACATTTTCATTTTGAATTTGTGATCCCTAGAAATCGTTTGGTCTCGTTATTTTTGGCACAGATGGAATCAGAATAGACCAAATCATGGGAAAATGGACTCCAACCTGTCGGCATGGTAACCTTGTTCCAAAATAAAATAACATTATTTTGGTCAATTTTTCGCTAAAATTGGCATTTTCATTTTGAATTCGCGACCCCTAGAAATCGTTTTATTTCGCTATTTTTGGCACAGATGAAATCAGAATAGACCAAATAATGGGAAAATCCACCCCCACCTAAAGTTTGGAAAATTGACCCAAAAATGGGTACCCCTAGTTTACAAACAATCGGTAAACATTTTTCGGCGTTCACCTTCCCACCCCTCCCTCGCCACTCACCATGGAGAACTTGCTGCGTTTGTCGAGCAGCGCCGAGACGGCGAACGACACCACGCAGCTGGCGCAGAGCGAGAGGTAGGTGTTGATGACGGCCCGGCTCTGGACGTCGCCCTGCGCCAGCGCCGAGTTAAAACTCGGCCAGAAACACCACAGGAAAATCGTGCCTGGGTGGGGGATCAAACAGACGGTCAAATACATGCGTGGAATATAATAAATGAAGGAGACGGACACGACACCTTTTACCATATTTTTTGTATATTCACTGAAAGTAATCCACAAGTAACTTTAGTCCGGAGTCTCGCGTATCAGCAGACCCGCTCATAGTTCTTCTGAATGCTTGAGACGAGGTGTTAGTATCACTGATGTTAGTTGTCGGACTTTCGTCCCCGTCTTGAGTTGAGATGTTAGTTTCACAACGTTTCGAGTTGAGATGAGAGTTGAGTTTCGAGTCGAGTTGAGAGTTGAGATCACAACGTCTTGAGTTGAGATGTGTAACATCTCAACTCAAGACGGGGACGAAAGTCCGACAACTAACATCAGAGACCCGCTCATATTACGTTAAGGTTATGGGTAAACGTTATGGGCATTGCGGCACAGTATACCTGCAGGCGCTTTTACACTGCCATCTATGGGCGAAAGGTGAAAATAATGAGCATTGCGGCACAGTATCCCTGCTGTCTTCGTTATGATGAACCTTTGCTTCTTCTCGTCTTCGCTACAGCTGACTCAGTTGTTTCTATTAGCCGTTTTACACTTTATGTAAACTAATGAGCGAATGAATGGATAAAGGTTTACTGCGCTGATGACGCAATCAATAAAAAGTTTTCTTGCTAATAGTAAACGTCTGGTTGATTTCTTTAGCTCCTTACCGATCATCGAGAACAGGTCGAAGACGGTGTTTGAGGCTGCTAAGTCTCCCTATCGATAATCGATACCAGTTTGGCTATCAGGGCTCCTTACCGATCATGGAGAACAGATCTGAGACGGTGTTTGAGGCCGCGTTCTCGCTGTCCCGGTCCTTTCTAAACATGGCGAAACTGACGGCCAGACCGAAATACGCGCCGAACGCGTGTACAAATATCGAGTCGCCCATATCGGACACCTGTAACAGGAGAGGGCGAGCTTATGGGTATGTTGACCAATAACTCAAGGCCTAGTCCTAGAAAACCATAATGTACTGACCCGATAAAAAATCCTCATTCCCGACGATAAGTGATGATCATAGTTACAATTAATTAGGCCTAATAAAGTACCAAATCCTATATTTTACTGTACGAATTTACCCAGGAACATCCATCGGTTGCACTTACCTGAAGGTATCGCCGACCAATCACTTCATTGAAAGCAAAGATGGGAACCTGAAAAAGATAGACGGAACATGACAAAGGAACGAGAGCACACAAGACGCAACACATGAACCTTTATTGAATGTCATTACGAAGTCGCAGTTGGCACCTACAAAAGCCACTGACATTGATTGAACTCCATGTCACGGTTCCCGTCTGTCTACGCAAAAACACTGTTTTTACGCTGTTTTTGTCTTCACTATCGCTTGACAGGACTAAATTCGTCATTTATAATGAGCCGCTCGTATTGCCTCGACAATGAGGGAACGGAAAGAGTATTTTGCTGCCGGACAAACTGAATCCGCGGACCGGGTACCCTCTCTGGACGAGAGAGTTCGCCTGTGTTTTGACGGGCGCTCAGACGACCGGCCTGTCGGTGACATCTGAAGGGCGCACGGCGGGATAATCCACCCGACTGGTGTATAATGGACCCGTATCCGTCTATCGCGCATACCGAAAACGCATACATTTCCAGGGGGTCACGTGTGCGCTGGAGTGTAAGTGCATACCTGTACCACGAGGCAGTGGAGCGTCTGAGTACGACCGAATTCGGCACTGGATGGGTATGGGCGAAATATTCCCGGTTGCAGCTTACCAGCCAAAGGTCTAGTTGACAAGGGTTTCGTTTTTTACCTATAGGTATCTGTTTCGGGCGTTTTTGCATAACGCGCACATTCCAATCAAGGTATTTATTTATAACGAAAAAAAAATTATTGCGGCCCTGGTGGCGCAGTCGGTTAACCCGCGCCCGGCTGGGGGTCCTGGATTTCCACGCCCTGCTGGGGGGGGGGGGTGTTTGAACACCCCCCCTTCTAACTCGGCTCCTGGGCCACGTAGCGATACGCGGAAGGCGGCGTTCGAAAGAGCGTCAAAAATAATGAGGAAATCACTTCGGTCAATTTTTTGGTCAGGTCAAAGGTCAGGTCACCAGAGGTCATTGAAGGCAAAATTTCGCCGATTTCCAGGTCGAATGTCGACAATTTCCAAGAAGCCAACGCATAACTCGGGAACCAATAGAGCTACAGCGCCGCGGAAAAGCGCATTCGATAGCCCTATTAGCGCCCTTTCTGAGTAATTCTCTCAGATTTGACCTAACGTCAACGGTTTTGCCTGCAGGGGGCAAAAACTGCAAAAATAGCCGATTTTTTCGGAAACAGTTTTTCTGCAATAACTTTTGACCCAAGCCTTGTACGAGCTTACTTTTACCGGCATCGTGTTCCTCTCGTCAAGACGCATCGAATGAACTATAACTTGACCTTGAAAGGTCAACTTGAAAATTTGACCTCAGGTCAAGGTCATGACCTGACCGGAAAGGGTCAAGTTGCATATCAGTCGATCCGTATCGTCGAGCTGAACACATCTAAGGCGTTTTCATCGCTCTAGCATGCCTCTATCAAAAGTTATTTGCGAAAAACTGTTAGATACCATTCGTGACCTAAGATGACCTCAGGGCATAAACAGGGGTCACGGACACCATTTTCATGTTCAGTGTGTCTAAACCACTTGTAATTCAGTGTTTGGGAGTGTTTATAATGTCTTTCGTCCAAAAGAGGCGCATTTCAATTTTCTCCCATTGACTTATAATGGGGAGGTCGCAAAATTGACCTGACCTTAGGTCATCGATATCAAAATTCTGAGATATACATTTTGTACATGCTATCGCTCTTAGCAATCGCTGAAAGTTTCAAAGCGATCGGTCACTCGGTGTAGCTATGACAGACATTGAAACTTTTTATGAGGTGAGGTCACTTCAAGTGACCTGGTGACCTGACCTTGAATGACCTTGGTCTGAAATTTTCACAACATGTGTAGAATTGATGTATGATAAGGTATACCAAAACGGCGGCGCTCCGCGCCGCCGTTTTTGAGATATTCGCGAAAAACCACAAGGGGGGTGTTCAAACACCCCCCCCCCCCCAGCAGGGCGCGGGTTAAGGCGTCGACCCGCGGTGCGGGCGGTGCCGGGTTCGGGTTCGATTCCCGGTTCCGCCCGTTCCGCGGGCGTCGTCCCCGGCTGTGTCACCAGATGTGGGGGTAGGCTCCCACTTCAGCCGTAGCCTGGGGGGTGGGGGAACAAGGGCCAGGAGGAGGAGGAGCCCTCCTGTAAATGGGACATAAGTGCCCGTTGGAGGGAGGTCTGAATAAAAAAAAATAGCTGATATCTGTCTGTCCGTTTGTCTGTCTGCCCGTGTGTCTGTCTGTCTGTCCATCTGTTCATCTCTCTGTCTATCCGTCTGTTCATCTCTTCGTCTGTCACTCTGTCCGTCTGCCTATCACTCTGTCTCTCCGTTGACTGACCTCGATCATAGCCATCACCAGTAGCTGCGTGGGCGACGTCTTTCCGAGCACCACTCCGAATGAGATCAGGATACAGGCGGCAGTGAAGTCGGCTCCCAGCAGACTGGCGGAGGAAAACCCCGTGTAAACTCCATGGGGGCATTATAAGAAGACGTGAATTAGAATACCTGAGCAGCATGTTTTCCGCCATTTGCTACAAAGAGAAGAATGTTGTAGAAGAGCTCGATACATTATACTGTAGACTGAGCACGTTAAAAAACGCACCAACAATGTAAATGCATTTCGCATCAGGTAGACATAGCATCGCCTTAAAAGCAATGTTGTTTTCTAAACCATTGTTTGAGATATACCAATCACCTGAAATGAATGAGGCATTAACTCATTATCCCAATACCAGAATTTGAGCCACCATAACGTTGGATCTTTAACTCAGAGCTAGGGATTATCTTGAAAGTGCCGTCTAAGCCAAAGGCATCAAAGACCGTCTTTCTCTTCGCCCACGGGGAGCTATAAAGGTGGAGAGCCTTATGCGATCTTCGAAAAAACCATTAAATTTCTGTACATAAAAATGAATGGTACATTTAAGTGGTGCCATTGGAAACGCAGACCTCTATTTCAAATGGTCCTATGCTTCCTCCCTAATTTTCTACAGCCAAGTCCTATAAGAGAGGGAGCTATCCAGATTGTTCTATAAGATCGCCGTAAAAACATCGTGACTGTATCACTTAATCGAATGAAGGCTTTAATTGGATATATACCGTTGAAAGTGCAGCAATCTGCAATCTGCATATGTCTAAACCGTAGGTATGTGAGTTTCGGAACAGACAACCATGACTGTGAGATCGTGGCTGATGTAACGCGACGGCCTTGCCACATTCGAGCCTCTGTGAAATAAACATGAACGGTGTATGTATATCCACTATATACATACATACACATTCCAAAGCATCAGCCGACTAAATCGTGTCTTGTCACCTTATATTGCCCTGGCATTAATGAGTCATGCATCCAATAAAAGCGACGTGCATGGGACGGTTCATCGCATATTTTCCCGTTGAAAAGAGAAAAATAAGAGTTGTCAATCTCAAAAGGCTGGCTTAACAATTCCCAAATAGCAGCACTTCAATGAATCTGGTGGTTTGGTTCATGTGATTTTGATACTTTGATTCCTAGTGATTTTGAAGCTGTTCACCGCAAAAAAAGAACGATTGTACGGGCTCTATTTTGAGATCATTACGTATAAGTGAGTCACCAAAAGAGTTAGGTCCATTCCGATTTTTTTTCGGAAATGTCAGCTAACCTGCCACACCTCGAGTATCACACCCTGCCATTTGATTCTGAGACGCCCCGGCGCCCGTCGGACCCACCTCTCGACGTCGATCTGGATCCTGCCGTCGTGTAGGTGGAAGAACCCGTTGACGATCACGGCCCACTGCAGCACCAGCGCGGCCAGCAGGAAGTTGAGGCTGACGGCGCTGAGGCCGTAACGCTTCAGGAACGTCATCAGGAAGCCGAAGCCGATGAATATCATCACGTGCACGTCCTGGAACACTGAACAGAGGACAACGGTTCAGCACCATCGGAATGAATAAGGCGGAAGCTTCGAGTATTCTCCTGCCAATGATGTGACATAAATTGTTACAAACATATCTAAACCATGATTAAAAAACTATATATTCCTTACACACATCACGGAGTTATAGCGTAAACATCCAGGAAAATCTCACAATGGTATCAGTCTAGCCATCCTCCTACATAGGAGCTACATCGACACTCGAATGCCAATCAACATAATGGCAGTCACAACAAGAAGGCATACATTCGCGATATGCTGGATGATCTCAACGACCTTGCTTCGAGGATGAATTATTCGGTAGTGTCTTACGCTATACTTACTCTATATGCATGAAAGGGGTACAAACACGTTACATGCACACATACAACATGCATGAATGCATGCATACATACATATATACGTATTTACGTTGCTACATGGGTAGCTTCCTGCACATAAATAAGGAGCAAATATTGCGAAGGTGACAAGCCAATCATGTAAGGGTCACGTCCCTTCTCACAAATTCATGGTGTAACACAGAGTGTATCAGGAGCGATACCTAAGCTATGCACAAAGGTCCACTCATGTAGGCAATCGTAGTAGTGCGGGGTAGTATCTAACTTTTATACTCCGCCACCCGCTATTTACCGACCGAGAAGCCGAGGTAATACGGCACAAACGGGCGTTAACTCAGCCACTAAACGAGTCGAATTGAAGACGGTCGAGCAACTGAATTAACGAAAAAATAAGTTACTGGGAAATAAGTGTTGAAGGAACGGAAAAAATTGGAATATGAAGAAGGACGGGAGCGAGAATGTATGTTGGAATGCCCCAAGGACATTGCGAATCGACACGGATCTTCACCCTACTATCCTCCACGGTCTCCCGTCCTCTGTCCTCTCTCCCCAAACCCTCCCTCGGTCTCGTCTCACTCACTGCTGTACATGCGGAGCAGTTTTCCGGGCGGCGTGTCCTGTGCCGCGGCGTTCGGCTTTGTCACAGAGTACTCGGCGAACACGCCGAACAGGATGACGAACACTACCTGGAGGGCCACCAGCACCAGCGGGTGCAGCGTGCCCAGAGCCATCGCGGCGGATGGAGAGGGGCGGAAGGTGGGGAAAGCACGAGGATGGTTAGACGGTAAGCGGTGGATGGTAAGCAGATAGACGGTGGATGGTCAGATGGCGCACGGTGGACAGTGAACGCTTAGACGGTTAGAGGGTGGACGACGGACTTGGAACGACAGTAGATGATAGACGGCCAGACGGTTAGACGGTGGAAGGTAGACGATGGACGATAGACCGCAGGACGGTGGGCTACGCTCTAGTCAGACGACTGACAGCGAACTGAATACACGGCGGCGCTACAGCGAGCAGCGGACGGCGGGGCTCCTCTCGGCACGCCCGCTCGGGGTCGAATGGCTGTCGGAGCCGGAGACGGCGGCGGCTGGGTCGGCGCGGAGCGGATCGGGGACGGATCATTGGACGGATCACGGTCGGTATATACGGGCCGAATGGTGCCCTGCGGCGGCGGGTCACCAGCCAGCACAGTCTCTCGGGTCGCCAGGTCCGCTGCTGATGTCCTCACGACATAGGGGATGATGGGTGTCTTCCAGCCGTTCACGGCAGCTCCAGAGAGGACTGAGATTTGTTGTTGACGTTCACACATATGTGAACGAAGAACGGTGTGGCTGTCTATTTGATTATCCCACAGGCCACTGGGAATAAATCAAATGAAGGTTAGCGTCGGTCTGTGCTCCGCAGCTCTGCCACATGTGGCTTAGAAGGTGTATACTTCCTAGATCAAGTCATAGGATGCCCAACGAACAGCGGCAGACAGAGCAACCCACCCATTCTTAGGTAAGGTCAATAGATACGCTACTACAGTTATTCCAATTTCGACCTTTTATAGATAACAATATAAGGTCATTTACTACATGATTGAGGAGAGCAGTTCGCAGCTCTTTTTGGGTTTAACCCTTTTGTGTTGTGAAATAAGATTTGACCTCGAGTCAACGTTTGTTTCTCAACGCAACGAACACCAGCGTATAAAGTTTGCTTTCATGAACGATTTCCCGTGATAACTTCTGGACATCTTAATTGAACATACTTGATCGTATCCTGTCGTCGTGTTTCCAAAGGCATGTCACGTGACAGCTCACCCGACAAAGACACATTTGACAGTCAGACAGTTCAACAGGCAGTTCACCTGGCAATGACAATGTAGGTTGGACAAAAACCGGACAGCTGTGCCAGCAGGTTGAACTGACAGACACCTGAGGGCCCGCCCGACAGCGACACCTAGCACTCATGTAGCTCACCTAACACCTAGGCGTAGCAGTCAGGAAGCTCACCTGAGAGCGGCAGCTGACAGCTCACACAGCTCACCTGAGAGCGACAGCTGACGGTCTCACAGCTCACCTGACAGCGGGAGCTAACTCACCTGAGAGCGGCAGCTAACAGTCTCACCAGAGGGCGTCAGCTGACGGCCACACGGCTCACCTGAGAGCCACACGGCTCACCTGAGAGCGGCAGCTGACAGTCCACATCTCACCTGAGGTCGGCAGCTGTCCCCGCTGATTGCCGGCCGTCCTCTGCCCCGGCTCCTCAGGCCGGTGCAGAGCCCAGCTGGCCAGTGTGTCTCGGTAGCGCGGCCGCCACCGCTCGTCCACCGGAGGGTAGTGCACGAGCAGCGTGAACAGGACCAGCAGCACCGTCTGAACAGCCAGCAGCAGCAGCGGCAGATGAGGACGCTCCGAGAGGGGCCACCGCAGCGGCGCAGCGCAGCACAGCGGCATGTTGGCGGCGGAGGAGCCCCGAGGGGCGGGTGGAAAGGGCGGCGGACGGTACAGCTACTCGAACATCTGGCGGAAAGGACAGACGGTGAAGGGCTGGCGGAGAGGGTAGCGGTCAAATGGGTTGGTGGAAAGCTGGAGGGTTACAAGATGCTTGGTGGGGAAGAAGAATGATGAGTTAGCGGTCGGAGGGCCGATGGAGAGATTCTAGGTGGTAGCGCCGACTGGACAGCTTACTGAACTCAGTCGGACTGGTGCCACTGCGCCGTCGCACGGCAGACTGCAGCGATCACCTCAGTGCCACCGATGGACTCTGCCCTGAACAACGGCAGTCGGGGCCCCGCACGGGGAAGGATTCGCCCAAAATACGCCCCAGGGTGACCTGAGATCGACCCGATGACCTGTAGATAACCCGGACACAGAACGCACTATGCCGGTCTAACCAGAGGTCACATAGTTCAGGGCGATAATGTCGAGCTACAAAATGAACCCTGAGGGCAGATTGGCTGGTGCCCTGATCACATGGACAGATAGTACATAGGTTCATTGTCCTTGCACACAACAGCAGACACGGCTGGAAGTGGCACAACCGAAACGAACCATATGCCTTTCTAAACTCGTACCATTCAAGAACAGTGACAAGTGCAATCCATATATTTGTTACCAAATATTGGTAGTTGAGCGGGTTAGATCACAGGTTCACAGGTTCTTGAGGAGGCTCGACTAGAGTAGTTCCACAATCCACACGTCCCCGAGTTATCGCTCGCCGTTAGCTGCACCTATCAATGGTAAGCCACGGTTTTTCTGAGCCCACAGGCCACCAAGAGAGACCTGAGGTCATCGGTCTTCAATGTCCATACCGAGACCGGCTGTCCTTAGTCCCCGACAGTTCACCATTGAACGATAGCTTTTAGTCATCAGTCCTCAGAAAAGTCCACTAAAGGCCGTCGTCAGCTCTCTACCCTCGATGGTCCGTCAGACATCGGCGGTCTGTCCTCTGTGGTCCTCTGGAGACCGACACGGTCCTCAGTCCTCTACCACGGTGACCTCCACACCACGCTCTGTCAGCTGGTCCACCAGCCGGCGGTACCCGGCCGCCACCATGTGGTCCACGTAGCCCAGGTGGATCTCGGCCTGGCGCAGTTCCGGCAGCCGCCCACAGATGTCTCTGATGTTCCGCTCGGCGCACAAACGCGCCACCAGGCGGCGCACGCGGCGCAGCGGCGCGCCGGCCGGGCCCGCCTTGGCAGAGGTGAGGTCGAGCGTCTCCAGTTGCGGGCAGGACTCGGAGAGGAGGTCGCCGAAGAGCCAGCAGTGCCGGCGCATGGTGAGATGTCGGAGGCGCGGCAGGGGGCCGCTGAACATCACCTCCGGCGGGCAGCAGTCCTCGGTCAGCCACAGCACGGTCAGCTCCTCCAGGTGGGGGAACCAGCCGCGGGCGCCGGCCGGGCCGCTCCGCACCAGCTGGTAGTAGTCGGGCCGCAGGGTGAGCCGCCGCAGCGCCGGGCAGCAGGCGTTCACTGCCGAGACGTCAATGCGCCGCCGGCCTCCCCAGGCGGTGTGCAGCTCGAGCTCGGTGAGCTGTGGCAGCTCGGCGCCGGGAGGCAGCGCGCCGCCGTCACTGTCCACGTTCTGCAGCTTCAGCCGGCGCAGCTCCCGGTGTCCGAACAGACCGGCCAGCGGCGCCGAGCACCGGACCAGACTCAGCGCGCGCAGCTGCGGCAGCCGCGCCTGCAGGGAGGCACCCAGCTGGTAGCCGCTCACCTCCAGCTCCTCCAGCCGCGGGCAGCAGGGCGCGCCGGCCGCCTCTACGGGCGCCAGCAGCAGCGGCCGCCGGGACGGCGAGCACTTGTACCAGGTGGCCACCCGTAGACGGCGCAGCGCCGGCGTGCAGTCGGTCACCACGCGCAGGTCGACGGTGACGTTAGTCTCCAGGTCGACACAGGTGAGAGTCTGTGACCGCAGCTGCTCCAGACTGAACCGGGTCGGCGTGCGGCCGTACAGGTGTGTCAGCGATGGACAGGCCTCAATCAGCGTCCTGCAGTCGTCCAGGGGCGGCCGGCCGGCTATCACACGCAGTCCGGTCGCCGGCTCAGATAGGAACTCAGCCAGAAACACATCCACCAGTCGGTGGCTGACGGCCGACCGAATGTGCAGCTCCTTCAGCTCTGCGGGCCGGCGGCGCAGCACGCGCGCCAGGCGGCGGACCGTCTCTGACGAGTCGTTGGCTCTCAGCCAGCCGATACGGGTGTGACGGGTCACCACCGCCTCGGCCAGGAGGGCGAGGTCCTCCGCCTCCTCCGGGTCACCGCTGTCCAGGGGAGGCAGGTCCGCCCAGAGGGTGTCGGCGGCCAGCCGGGCCAGCGGCGGCGGCAGGTCACCCAGGCCCCAGTGCGGGCCGGGCTCCAGGGGTCGCCGCCGGCACCTGTCACATACCGCCTGCAGACACAGGGCCTGGAGCGTGGGCAGCGGACGGAGACGGGTCTGCAGCGGAGGCGGGGTCTGCAGGCGCAGCAGGGCGGCCGGCAGAGACGTCAGGTCCGCGGAGTCGGCCAGCATCGGCGACGGACGGTCCACCAGCAGGTTCTCCAGAGCGGACATCGGCGGAGAGGACCGTCACGGTAAGCCCGCGCTTCAAATTACGCCTGTCACGGCAGGGCTGCGCTTCAAAACACGCCTGTCAGGCCAGGACCGCGGTCAGGGCCATTGCTGCGCCGACTGGTCAGTCACGCCCAGGCCGAAACTCTCAATCAGCCGCGATAGGACCGCGACTTTTAGACACTGTCAGCGGCGCTCGAACTGTACCCTCGTAGACACTCCATCAGCCACGCTAGGACCACAGCATGGCAGGCACTGAGTTAGCCGCGCCGCCGGTCCTCAAAGTCACGTCAGCGGCCGGGCCGGCGCCACACCCAGACCGGCCCTCACTCAAAAAACAGGCCGCCACCGACAGCTCAGTCAACACTCAACGCATTTCACCAGACCAGTCGCTGCGTCACATTCACTGTTCCTCTGTCAGCCCACCGCCACTGATTTCCCTCACAGATGCACACGCAGCGGCACGCACGCTGTGACCGACGTGCTAGCGGTGGGAGAGATAGAGCAGCCGCCGCCGGCCGCCGCCCGGGCGGGGCGGGGGCGGCGGGGAGAGCGGCAGTGGGCCGACCTGACCTTGAGCCGCCCGCGACGGCGCAGCTCGAGTGCGGGCCGGGCGTCAGTCGGCGGCCGGCCGGCCGGACGGGCGCGGAGAGTTCACTATCGTGACGGTATGTGGCCGATGAGGGCAGCATGAGGACTCACTGAGGGAACTCAGGAGGGACTCAGGAGGGAACAGGTCACATGAACTGCTACTGGGAGTGCGGAGGGGAGAAGGGAGGAACAGAGTAACGGGACAACCATAGAACCCGAACTGTTGGTAGATCACCAGTCATACGAACAACTCACGGTCACGAACTGCCGCTAACATCAAAGCATTCGCAAAACTAGGAGGGAAGTTCATAATCGACACGCAACAGGCTTCGATTAGGACGCTCGCCTCGCGTGCACTTCAGCGATAGACGACCCTAGGACGATGGAACTTGATCGTTGTTATATAAAAGCAGACATGGTAGTGCACATGTCCTTAGTAAGACGGAAATCGGTGAGTTCGTGCAGAGGAAATCGTATCTGAGTTGAAGTTCGCTTCACAGCGACCATGCATCACGACAATAAGGCCGCATAGTGATCACCGCCCGACCACGATAAATGGTGATGACGATGAGTTGGGGTTTTTGGGCCCCCGGAGTCCGGAGGTCATCAGCGCCCTCCCGACACTGATCGAACGCCCGGTTAGGCGCGGCACGAGAAATAAACAAACAAATGGCACCTCACATCCACCAGAGCAGTGGAAAGGAAGTGCTTAGTTCCCAGAGCAGTAGCATGAAGTGACAGACTTATGGCACGAACCACGAACTCTACACTCAGTGTGTCCTCGATACATGGTACAAAAGAACGGGTTGATTCATGACGCAGCCGAATACTTTTCGTGATATATTCGAAACCGGTGACTTTAATACAGAAAATGTTTGCTAAAAAACAACATTTATCACCAACCTCATCCAGAGTTTGATTCTAATTGGCAATGGAGATCAATTATTTCACCCACTGGAGCGCTAAAATGGCTTGCAGTGTACATAGTCATTTGCCATCAATGGCACCGGGTTTTCAAGAAATTGAAGTCACCTCAACAATTGCCGATGAACATCCGATGCTCACTTGAACGTGGAAGCTGCACGACCCAGCCCGAAAAGTAGCCAATATCTCAATGAAGACACGTGGAGCAAGAGACTGCACGTGCGAATTGTACTTCAACGCCATGAACGGGGTGCTACGACCGGTCAGTTCTCTAAGTTGAGAAAGGTGAGTGTGGCTTCGATTTAAACATAAATATCGACACTCTCCCTGTCCATAGCCTCCAAAACACTGCACTACAATACAACACCAATACACAGACCACAGGATGATATTCCAAACATAGCGAATGCACAAAGCCCACATAATAGCGCGCTGAGCCGTCACGGACGATCCACCACGACAGACACATCACAGGCAGCACTGGCACCCCTCCCCTCCCCTCAGGCACCGGGAGGAGGTCACTCGTCCGACGGTCGCCAGCTCGGTTTTCTCGTCTGAGCACGGGAGGCGCTCGTCTGAGGCCGAGCTGCGCTCATCGATTTCCGCGCCGTGCGCCTCCCACCGGCGGGGGAGGCCGCGGGAGGCGCCTGCTTCCCCTCCGGCGCACAGCTCGGTTGGGAGTCTGGGGAGGTCGCACTGAGGCCCGCGGCGGCTGAGGGTCCGTTTGTGCTCACGGCTGGCGGAGATTTCACAGCACGGCCCACCATTACTGTTCCATTTTTCGCTGGCTGGCACTGCACAGTCATTTTGACCACGTTTGGGGCCGGTTTGCCTCCCGCCGGGACTGACTTGTCTCCGGCTGTCAGGACCCACCTCTGTGCCGGCCCGGAGCCGGCGGTCGGGGAGGCCGCGGTCACCTGACTGCCGTCCCCGGGCGAGCTGTTCAGTTTGAGGGTGAAGGTGCGCTGCCCGGGCGCGCCGGTGGGGCTGGTGACGGTGAGCACAGCCCGCTGGGGCGCCGAGGAGTCCGCGTCGCCCTCAGGACGGCAGTACATCACCTTAGCGGCGACCGGAGCGGCGGCGCCGCCGGCCGCGGGTGCTCCGCCCGTCACGCGCACCTTACAGCCGTGACCGCTGGGCTGGCGGGCCCGGCCAGGCTGGCCGCCAGTGGTCTGGGGCGCCCGGTTGACCACCACCACCTTCTGAATGTCCTTGGTGCCGGCCGGCGCCCGCTGCAGAGGCGGCGGCGGACCGGTCAGAGGCGGCGGCCGCGCCGTCCGCGCGGTGAGGCGCGGGGGACCTCGGGTGAGAGCCGGAGGCGACGACTGCAGCACCGGAGACGGAGAGCTCGACTTGACGGACGCGTCATCAGAATCTGCCGGAGGGGGTGATACATGGCTGTCGGTGATTGCTTACCGCAGTCGACTAGAATAAACAGTAACAACCATTAAAACCCTTGGAGCATCATCAGGAAAAGGAGCATATGCAATGAATTAAATGAGGTCAATGAATTTCCATGAATTTCCTATGGCTTTCGCAGTCAGATTTTGAGTACAAGGAGCGAGCAGAGTCAATCAACAAATTGTACCACCAGTAAAACGCCTTTTGGGCGAAGAACGAGCGAGCGAGATAGTGAGCCCTGCACGTGCGGAAGGGCGAGAGGGTACTTCCAACGGGCTTGTGCAAAGCACCCTTCTAACCGATCGCTAGCGATGTGCCAAATTTGAACGCAATCGGCCCAGCCGTTCCTGAGATCTGGAAGCGGCATTCTGTACGTGCGCACGTGCAAACGGGGTCCAAAATGACTTTTGCACGGCACCCTACTAACCGGTCCCCAACCGTGTACCAAATTTGAGCGCAATCGGCCCAGCCGTTCTCGAGATCTAGAAACGCCCCCTGCACGTGCGCACGTGCAGTAGCACCCTAACCGCAACACATGGGAATGCATTGCCTGGTGGGTGCCTACCTGTATGCCAAGTTTCAGCGAAATCGCCCCAGTAATTACAGAGTTACTGAAATGGGAACAAATTTGACACCTCTCATTGTTGTATTTTGCACGTGCACTGGGGGTGACCCACATGCATCGAGAGTATCCGACCTTTGGTAGAAGGGATGCAGCTACCCTATAAAAATTACCGTAAGACAATCGCTCAAGCTGCTACTGAGATATGGGCCTCTCAAACTCACTACTTTTGCAAAACAGCTTGAACACCCTTGATTTTTCACGTGGCACGACGTGCCACGATGGTCACTGAGGTGTATCAAAAGTAGTCAATTACGGGGTAGAAGGGATGGGGCTACCCAACAAAAAAGACCGCAGGCCAATCGGCCCAGCGGTTGCTGAGATATAAGCCTCTCAAAAGCGTTACAGGCCGGGCCGGGCCGGGCCGCTCATACTGAGATTTTTCCGTTATATTGAAAAGACTCGCTTCGCTCGCTGCGCTCGCTCACTCGTAATCACAAACATAAAGCGGCAAAGACCACCATGAAACACCACCCTCCGTCCGCCTAGCCCGGCCGGTCCACCCGTCCGTCATATCCATTCTCAGGACTTCCAAATCCTCCACGCCGTACCCCAGGATCCGGGCTGGACAGGCAACTTTATCTCAATCGGGATGCTCCCGTGGAGCGGCACCGCTGCTCCCAGGGGAGCCAGGAGCACACCCGTAGCCGGGTGCATTGAGTACTTGGGGGGGGGGGGGGGGACTGGTCGGCCCGTCCTTTTGTACGGGTTCAGCCCCTGTGACTCACTAGGGTGCCTGCCCAGACCAATGTCTCCCCCTAATTCCTATCATCCTTCCGGCTCTGAAATGGTACTGTCAGACCGAAAGGGCCTAACCCAACAAAACAAACAGAACAAAGCCGACCGGTGCTTCACCCACCTTCCAGCAGCACCTCTTCCTGCCCGTCGGACCAGGACATCGGGGAGGACGGGTCCAGTTCCGGCGAGTCATCGCTGCTGCAGCTCAGCACATCGTCGTCAGACACTTCCTGCACCTCCTCCTCGGCGGCGGCGGCGGCCAGGAGGACGTCACTCTCCTCCTCACTGGCTACGACCACAATCTCCTCCACGTCAGGGTCCGGGACGGGCGCGGAGGGCAGGCGCGAGGGGCGCACGGAGAACCGGACCGGGGGGCCGGGGGGCGGGCCATGGGGGTCGGAGGGGAGACGGGCGCCGAAGGAGGTCGCACTGGCCGGTGTCGGCTCATCGGACAGTCGCCGCAGACGGTCGAAACAGTCCTGCCGGGCGAGGGGAGGGAGTTACACACTGTCAGTGAGTTCTATCCAGTGGGTGAGTTTTACTGCTCTATTGAAAACACAAGTGTGCTGAGGAGGCATCGATTCAGACATTCCACGCTTTTGGTGTCTGTGGCAAAAAATCGAACAAACAGGCGTAATATACCTTGCCATGACGTATACCTACCAAGCACACGCGTACGGCCCTCCAGGTATTAAGTGGTTGGTTGCCAACATCACAATAATTGATCTGCATTGACGAATACGTCTAATGGCTGTTGAAAACCACTGCCGAAATGTGTGCACGAACCCTCTTCTCATTTCTATTGAGTCATTTTACTGGAGTGTCTCTGTCAAATTAAAGTTATTATACCAAAAGCATATAGGCTAACCAACCTACACTTTTTTGTTGGAGGGCCGCACATGTGGCATAACTCTAAAAACAAGCATCTAACTGAGATGAAAAACTCGTCCCTGCCCCGACCGGAGTCAGCCCCGTCCCCGCCCTCTCACCATGCAGAGGAAGTCGGTGTGAGCCGGGTCGGCCGGCGGCGGCAGGCCCACGCACGCCGCGTGAGACAGACAGAAGCAGCCGACGCAGCGCAGATCGGGCAGCACGGGCGGCGGCGGGTGGCCGGGCCGCGAGCAGAACAGGCTGCAGGTGGCGTACTGGCGCAGACGGCTGCCGGGAGAGAGCGGGGTACAAGGGTTAGAAGGACTCAGAGTCAGAGAGACATCAGACGGATCAGAGAGAAACATCATACCACTGGGGAAAGTGGAGAAGTCAAACGGGTACGAGAGAGGGAGCATGGGATCAGAGGGAGCTGCAAAACGCTGCAAAAAAAAAAAACGGATAAAAATGTCGGGTAGGGCAAGGGTAGGGCAGGATGGGAAGACGACACTGAGGAACACACAGCGGCTGGCGGCCCGGTAAACCCCTCCCCATTCTGTCTGGCACCCCTCCACTGACCGACAATGACCACCGTCTGCACTCTCACCCAATGCGCAGTGTGTACGGCGGCGGCAGTCTGGCCGGGGTCTGGGCCCGCACCTGGTCCACGTACACCCCGCGCCACGGGTCGGCTCGGAGCGGCTCGTCCACCGTCTGCGCCTCTCGGCCGTCGGCCGCCACCACGGCCAGTCGCCAGGGACGGGTGTCGACCAGGCGACTGAGAGCCAGTCGCGGCTCCGTGCCCACTGAGCCCGGCCCGGGGATGGTGCCCACCAGAGCATGCAGCGCCTCCGCGTAGGTGAGGCGGCGGACCGGCTGGGCTGGCTCGCCCTTCACCATCAGCTGAGGGGGCGGGGGGGGGGGGACTGGTGGTAGAACGTATTCCAGGGGTAGGCGGAGAGGGAGTTTATGTTTTTATTCATTTTTATCTACCCATCAGACCGTCTACAGGCACATAAGCCACTAGCGGACGGGGTCACAAAATCAGTTTTAGGGAGATGTACAATGGGTACTTCATCTTTAGCATTGCAAGGCTCAAGCCCAAAGAGCTTACCCCTAAGAAAAGAGGACGACGCATTGAGGTAGGAAACCTGTTTAGTCCCTTACATACTCAATTTCAGACCTCCATAATAAGTGAGTGACTTTCTTTCCAACCCGAACTCCCTTTCGGCAGTGATACCCTCCTCAGCACCTCTCCGCAGCCGCCGATCGTACCTTGAGTTTCCGTTTGGGCGGCTCGCTGGGCTGAGGAGGTGCAGGCCGTTTGACGGAATAGCGGGACTGAAGAGTCCCTTCCAGAGCCTTGATGCAAAACTTTGGCCGCGGGTGCTCTTCTTGGACCTGCGTGGCTCCGTTCAGAGGCCGTACCACCACCACTGGGCGCGGCTTGGGCGGCGGCGGCGGCTTGGCGACCACCTTTGGCCGCCTGCGGTCCGCGCCGGCCGGCCGGTCGGGGGAGTCACCGCGGCCACTCAGCAGCGCCGACTGATCCAGAATCCTGGAGATGGCGCCCTCGGCCGTGGCCCGGTCCCGCAGCGTCTGGTCATTGACGGGGCGTCGGAACACCTTGTGGATCCTAATCGACGTCCGCGGTATAGCCGACGGCTGGGGTTTGGCCGACGGCTGGGGACAGACATGGTGAGGTCAGCACCACAGATATGCAGACGAGATCAGAGCAAGCAGCGTCTCGTCATGGTCGGCAGAGATAAGCTACTCGATAAATGGACGACGACTATTATCTGGCGAAGTCAATGAGGTTCGATACACGAATAACCCGTGTCCCACCGTGGGAGTTCCAAACACAATCGGGTGATCGATGCTTTAACGCCTTTCTAATATCAAGACGATCGAATGACGCGTAATTCGAGCACTAATTAATGTCAACCTAAATATTCGAAATCAAATCAGAACCATACGTCTGGAGTTAGAACCTGAAGGCCACCTTTCGTACCCACCTGATTGATGGCAATTTTCAGCCGCTTGTTGCGCAGTGCGGCGGAACGCACGGGGGTCGTATTAGCCCCTGCCTCACGCATGCTCTCGTGCGGCGGTCCCACGCCAACCAGCTGGTGCGCGAACGAAAAGTTGCTGATGTCCATGTCTTCATCATCGAGTGCCTCCACTGCGGAAAGAGGTGCGGTGAACACTTGGTAACGACCGCCGGCGATACAGCACAGCCGAGTGCGGGTGGGGGACTGAGTATGATGTCCCGTTCACACGCCAAAAAAAAAAAAAACGCTTATTCTGAGACAGCATAGCAGTCCTGTCACCGGGCAGATTGGGAACTAGTAGCCTGTCGGGCGGCCAGTTCGGCCCGTCGAGCGGACAGAACGGCCTGCCCAGCAGACAGAACGACCTAAGGGGACTCACAAGCGTCCTCCACTTCCCGCTTGGAGCGCAGCTTCTTTCCGTTTGGCATGTAGTAATAGCAGTCGAAGCGGTGGCGGTTTTTTCCGCTGTTGAATGTGCTGCGTCGGACCACCTCCCGCCGCCAGCCTGCGGGGGCAGCACAACTAATCAGACCAACATCATTCAGCTGTCACGCCCACATGAGTTCAATTCAATGGGGCAAACATTGCATTGCGAGGTCTCAGTGCATATCAACATATGAATAAATAACTCTAAGATGCCTCTGCATGGGCACAAAATATGACAAATATTAGCAACAGCACAGCATCAGACTTTGGACTCACCATGTTTGAAAGGCTCTGCCAGAGGACCTTTCAAAGTAATCTCTTTTACTTCATCTGAAAAAGAGTAAAGAGCTCATGTTATTGGAGGATACATACATGCTAAATATATCATCAACAGTTGATGTGATTGACCAAAGGTTCATTGGACAGTTAGTCTGCTCATTACTTTGTGCTGAACTCAACAAATCAATAAATAATTTATTCTAAGTTTCTCAGTAAAAAGATGAAGTAGCATATTTCATTGGCACCAGTCTTGAGAGCCTGGTTACGTAAAATTGTGGAAAATAAAGAATATTTTTATCAGATCCACCATTTCATGAAGTGATATAAATATTCTCACAAATTGGCAGAACATAACATCTTACCTTCTGATGATGACATGTTGGTTGTGTGTTTTGGTGCAGCCAAAGGGATGCCGACTGGCAGCCACCCAACAATTAGATGATGTAATGAATTATATGAAAAGCATCTGGTTCAGCTTGCTAAAATAAAAGAGGGGAATGTCAATTACCAGTGGAATGTGATTCCAAAACATTTAACATGTCCTGACAAATGAATGACACTTGCACACTAGAAATCTACAAGACAAGATTTAAGCTGAACATCATTCAGTGAATGATATCTCTTGGATTTTTTAAATAAATGTAGTGCTAAAAGGCAGCTATGAACTCTTCATAGAAAAAGATGTTTTCTTCAGAAGTAAAGAATTTAATCCCAGTGTACAAACCAGGTAAGGTGGAAGTTGATGTGACAGTACATTGATAGTCCTGTATAACTTGGACTCGTCAACTGTTTTTTATGCATTTTTCCTCACAAATAAATGAGGTGAGAGCTACACTGTTCACCTTTACCCAGTGTCCCCTGCCAGTCTGTCAGGTGGTCTGATAAATGAAGCAAGGCCTAAAATGCTCTTCCTCAACCAGCAGACTATTGCATGCTGAAGGACAAAGAAATGCAAAAGTTTAACTACCTATCTCTTAAAGAAAAAAATGTGGGATATCATAGAGTTCAGTAACTTAGGGGAGAAGCCACCCTGTATCTCACTTGTGAAGCAACTCGGGGTTGGATGTGAAGCATATCAAAAGTCCACAGGAACAGAAATGTATCTTTATCTGATCAATACTTCAACCCACATGCAACAACTGCACCACAATTGTCTCAAAATCCATTTTGAGATATGTTTTGAGACACATGCACACTACTTCTTCCCAGCAATGGCCCCTATTTCAGGGAATTTGCCTGTTGCTGAGTTTGATGTCCAGGACAGGAAAGGGTCTAAAACTGGGTTGCCTTAATGCTTATTTAACAGGCTGGACCTCTGGATGTATAACAATCACGTACAACCTTGAGCCACTGCAAATCCAACAGGCAACACCAATCGTGCTTTTTTTAAGTATTTAAATAGTGAGCATCCAGTAAGAAGGCAGCTTCATCAATTCAAGTTGGAAAAGTTTGCCTTTTCACATTAGACTATAATGATTTTTCAGTTTTGCTTTAAACTTAGACCAAAACATGCAAAAGTTGAACGAGAAATTGGTATGGAAGCGCGATGAACAGTCTACCCATTGCCATCCATTTTCGACCACTTAGAGCCTGCTAATACATTACTGCAATCATTAATAGCATTATCAACATCGTTTTATCACATATTGTACCCTTATAGTCGTAACAATACTGCATACTTGGCAATGATACTGTTTTTATTTACCCTGTTTATGTCTCCCACGCACGCGCGCGCGCCCGCCCCTGTGAAACTGCGGCGGAATTTTCGTGCGCCAGGAACGTATGAACTACTTCACTAATAAGCTGCAAAAATATTGATAAAAACCTGACGGGCGAGAAATCTCCAAAATCTAAGAATTTTGCCAAAATCCATGCCATATGATTTATAAATGCAGCCTGTAGGCATGAACACTGATATCTGACACGATACGAAAACAGCTGTGTCGATGAGGCGTACGCCATTTTTGATTTTTCACCATCTCCCTTGTGGGGCACCACCGACTTTTGGTCCCATTCTTTCCATGCAACGCCCATAGGGCTGATTTTAAAATGCCCAAATCAAAAGGGGGCACGGTGCTCCGGTCCCCCCCCCCTGTTCCGCCACCTATGCTACGGATCGTTCTGGTCAAATCACAAGCCTAGTCCGTACCCAGCCAGCAATTTGGTTTGGCTCAAATCCGTTTTGCTTTGCTCCGGCAGCTCCGACATGCCAGTGCCACAGTAGGGCCAGCGTAAACGGAGCGCCATCAGAGCCGGGATTTGGCTCTATTCCGGCTAGCCAGCCCTTGCCGTTATAGCGCTCCCGAGTTGGTATGGTTTCGGACCGCCTGCAAGTCTGGCCCAAGTCCGGCTCCCTGCCACGGCTCGCCTAAGTCCGGCTGCCTCGTAGCTGCTCTGGCTTACTTTGGATGAAGCATAGTTGAGGTACGGCACGGGTGATGCGGGCCTGCGGCATAAGTCCGGCTGATGGGATCGTGCGTCAGCTCCAGTAGAGCCCCAGACCTTGCCCGTATATTTGGCCGGAGCAAGTGCCGAGCTAGCCAGAGTAAAACCAGCTACGGCCCCTACGGCCCAGGCCGAATTTGCTGTCGGGGTAAAAGCACTGAGTTTCGGTGTAGACGGTACGGGAAATTTATTGTGGCAACTGTTTGGATCTAAGGTAAATGAGGTCAACCATAGAACACGATATATAGTGGTCTATGGGTCGACATATAAACATTCGCCTTTACTGTTGTAAAAACGTCTTATTTATACATCGTCACCAATGTTACGTTCATTGTTCATTGCATAAGTAGGTGCATAAAGCTAGGTAGCTATAAGTAGGCATAGTTTTGTACCTACATACCTAATGTGTGCGCAGTGCGCCTATCAGGTAAACGTAAACAGTAGCAGCGGAACACCTTCAATTAAGGGGGGGGGGGGGTGACTGGTGAGCACTGCCGACTTTTGGTCCCTTTCTTTCCATGCAACGCCCAATGGGACTAATGTTAAAAGGTCGAAATCAAGGGGGCCACAGTGGCCCGGTGCCCCCCCCCCCCCTGTTCCGCCGCCCATGAACGTCAACGACTTGTCTATAGCTGGGGCGTAAACAACCGGGAAAAAGAACTGGCGCCTGGCGGATTAGGTGTGCAAGGGAAGGTGGGGTAAGGTGGACCAGCGAAAGCTTGAAGTCGCATGCCTATCATGCTTCACTGCTATTGAAGCTCATAGGTAGTGTTTATATAGTCTTCTGAAATATACCTAGTGTTCCTTAAACAGGAACTCTCGGTTTTCCACGAATAACTCACGTAAAAAGCGGCCGATCGCGAAGAAACTGTTAGTACCCTCGCTGAGTCGCGTTAATCGATTTTACACCTCCCCTAAAACATTCCATGACCCTGACCCAAATGACCTTTGACCTGCGAGTTGTGACCTACTTTCGAGACCATCTTTTGTCGGAATCGCGATTCGGCGTACCTATGTCGGCTCGCATTAGCCGCGTGTTAGCAGTCTTTTCGTGGTTTCAAACCATCCAATATGTGATACGATGTTGGTCTCATGCATTAGGGTGGGTGTCGAGGTCACCTGAAGGTCAGGTCAGGTCATTGACCTTTGCTGACCTCGGTTCACTTTTTCGAGGTTTACATGTTTCTAGGCAAGTATTTTAGCTGAATTCGAATTAAGCAACCATTTGAACATTTATGAAGTAGTTTTGGTGCCTTATAACGAAAGCTGTCAGAGGCGAATGACACGTACTACGAATGCCCGGCAGGACCCCTACTGGTTGACCTGACCTGACCTGACCCGACCGACCTGGCCTAAATGCAAGAAGACATCATCTGTGATCAAAACAAACATGATATTCGTGATTAGCACCCCGAAGAATCTCACAGCAGCCACACTTTACGACTTTCTAACAGGTCCCGATTTTCCCGACTTTTGGGTTATTGACCTGACCAAGGTCAACCGGACTTAGGACCTTAAAATTGAGCATCATCGGCTTCCTCTTGTCACGGGCAACACGTTCGTTTTTTCCACGAAGCTCTAGCTCAATCAGGGGCGAAACGGCAAGGGGGAGGGGGCAACGGACCCCCCCCCCCCTTATCCGTTCGCGGCTGGCAAAACACCACTACGGGCGAGGGTTAGAAAAACGTTTAAACGATTTTACTATTGACGGTTTAAACATAAGGTTAATGATGCATTTGTAGGTAACTATATCTCGTTATTCGCATAGCAAAACGCAGTTTTATCGAGTTCAGCGTTGATAAGTTATATTTTGTTTGTTCACTCAGTCAGTCGTGCGTTCAACATGCTCACTACACAATGGTCAATTAAGGGTAGCATCCCGTGCTCACTTTCATCCATGTCGCCATTAACTGATCATGCCGCTAAGTTAAAATGCCTAAGCTGTCCAAAGATGCATGGCTAATAAAGCATTTAAATTATATGCAGAAACCGAATAACAGCTTCTATATGCATACTCAATAGCAATGATCTCACAAAATGTCTATTTGCAAGTGAATGGTAAAACAAGACACAACCTAGATAGGTATGGTTACAAGCGAACAAAATTTCTTATTGAACATTCATACCATTACGCCACTACCATACATTTTGATATGTGTGATGCCAATATCGTTTGACAATTTTCCAAGGTAACACAACGATGTCAAAACACTGTCATGCCCAATTATTCCGCGTCTTACAGCAAGCGACACACTCATTCCGTACAGCAAACAATTGCCCGTCTAAGCTACACCATAATATCACATTATTCCGGTGCTCACTACAATATAGTGAGCCAGCCAGAACAACTAATATTGTACGTTAAAGGCCCGCGACTCCTTTATCGCGAGCAGCGGGGTCGCGTTTTAGGGGTCAGCGCGACTGTTGCAGAGCCACGGTGCAATTAAGAAAGAAGAGAAGCGATTTAAAATCTCGTAACATCCATGGCACTTTGGAAAGCAGAACAAACCTTTGAGCGACTAGGGTGGTCACACTATAAGGTCAATAACTTAAGGCGCTCCGATGATGAAAGGTCAGAGTTCATTTGGCCCGAAAACGAAGAAAGAGGGAACAAGCGGGGGAATAGTAAGCAGTCGCTGATAAGTGATGTCTAATTAGATACAGAGCATGAACAGTGAATGTCTTCCTCGTCATGGGCTTGAAAATGTTGAAGTTAACATACCTACCTAGGCATACCTAGGACACGCATACCTAACAATAAGCCCACGACAGCAAAGTCGATTGGTTAAAAATCTAACCAAGTGTTAATCAAAAGATAAAGATAAATAGACAAGTAGACAAGACAAGTGATTAGCATCGGTTCCATTGGCAATGTTGCATAAGCTCGAGGGAGAACGACGTAACGGAGGCGGTTTGTAAAGGCACCAGAGACTTCCACATGTTCTAACTTCTAAGGCTCGTGTCCAAACGGGCGACATTCGCAAATGCACGGCGACCGCACCAACAGACAACAACGTAACGCTTCCGGCCGGCCACTGGAGGGCTTTTCGCCACAGCCACGTCACGATTGTCATTCTGGCCAACCTGAGATCGGGCAGTGTGTCACTACTGCCGCAGTTTTGGAGCACCGTGCGGCTACTGGTCACCAGTTCACCAGTAAGGGTTCTATGACCTGGCCGGTCACTAGCAAATGTTCAGTGACCCGGCAGGTCACCAGTAGGGGTAGGGCGGCCGGTTGTAGGCCGGCAGGCTGGCGATGGATGCCACTACGGAGGTGGGCACGCCGGGCACGCCCGGTACGCCGGGCGGGAACGGCAGCAGCTCGTGGCCGGGGTACGGCGCCGGCGGGCCGTACCCAGCGGCCGGCGCCGGCGGTAGGGACTTGCCGTCCCGCACTAGCACGGGCACGGCCACGCGGCGTGCCGCCGACGGCAGCGGCAGCAGCTCGTGACCCTGCTCCTGGGTGGCGCGCTTGGTCTTGTAGCGGTGGTTCTGGAACCAGATCTTCACCTGGGTGGGCGTCAGGTCGATCAGGTTAGCGAGGTTCTCCCGCTCGGGCGCGGACAGGTAGCGCTGCTGCCGGAACCGGCGCTCCAGCTCGTACGTCTGCGTCTTGCTGAAGAGGACGCGCCGCTTCCGCTTCCGTCCGCCGCTCTCCTTCTCGTCGGCCTCGTCGACGTCCTCGGAGGGCGAGGCGCGAGACGTCGGCACCGTCGCGGGGATGTCGGAGAGCCGCGCGGGCGTGCTCGACGTCCGCTCGTCGACCGGAGAGCGCGGCGGCGAGCCCGGAGAGTCGCCCTCGACCTTCGGGGCGACGGCCGGCTCCACGGGCTCTGCTGGGGAACACAGAGAGTTACACGGTCAAACATTGAGAGCTATTTGAATGGGTTGCAAGGAGCGCACACGGTGATATTGCTAATCGCTAATAAACGGGAGTAAACAATAGTAAACAATAAACAATTCTTCCTATTCTGCACACCAAAACTGACAACTCATAGGTCCGTTAGTTTTACATTAAATTCTACCAATGAGGGCACGTTTGCAAGATGCACTTGACTAAAGTAGTTCGACGAAACTGTAGCCCACCGGTCACCTTGATTGCAAATATGTATCTACACCTTTGCGCAGGACCTGGCAGAATTTGTCAGATACTGCTCTCCAGCCCCATCAGGAACCCAGCGTTCATTCTGTAGTCACGTTAGCCATGGCGACACAGGGGCGGGTCAGAAAATGATGTGGGATTAACGGAGCAGCTCAGTGTGTCATATTAATTTGACGTTGTCACACACTGCGAAACCTCATCACCATTT